CGAGTGCCGGCTAACATTTCTCGAACAGATAAAGTCCCTGCTAAGGCATTTTGGCTTTCTCGAGCATAAATGTGAGAGCTAACTTTGACAGGGACTCGGAGTCCCTGTTAAGCGTTTTCGGCTCGATAGAATGACAGCTGATTTCCCAAAGCCAACTATGAAGAAGAAACGAAATCACAGCTGACTTTTCCTTTAAATTATACCCAAACAGCTGATGAAATAATCGAAGCAAGCCATTTTTTGCACTTTACAGTGCGTTGACAGCACTCTGTAATTGTTTCTCGTTCAGATAAATTGAAGCAGTCGAGAAAGCGGATTTGCTTTTACGAACAGTTTATCTGGTCTTAAAGTTTTTCGAACAGATAGCTATCAGGGACTTTGACAGGGACTCGAGAAAGCGGCCCTAAATAGTGGAAAATGCCTGAAAGTGCTGCGGGAAATGCGCGTGTGTGAGTGCTTGCGTGTGCGGTACATTATTTTTCCCCATTTTTGGTTCCTAAACGGAAACAAGCGATAATAAAATTTTTACAGCGACACCAACAACAACAAATGAACAGCGTCGCAGTTGCCGCATAAAAATTCAGACGATGTCGCACCCGGCAACGCATGTAAAAGCAAACAGCGAAAAGCAAAAAGGGAAAAGCAAAGGCAAAAGCAAAGCAAATCAAAGGCAGCAGGGCGTGTAACAAGAGAATCATAAAATCTAAAGTAATGGTGTCCCACGAAAAAATCAGAACACCAAGATATGCAGCAAAAGTGTGGAAAACATTTCATATAGTCGTACCTTTTAACCATTAGGTCATCAAAATCTTTATGGTACTTTCTGAGGAAACGGTATTTAAAGTATATTTTAGATCAAAGATTTTCTAAAATAATTCATTTAATTTAATAAATAATAATTAATAATAATTTTTATTCCACTGTAAAGTCGGATAAAATAATGAAATATTTTGGGAGATAGATTTGTTTGTGGGCGAAAATCCCATTTCATGGCTACGATTGCGTGCATGGATTTACGAAACAAACATGTGTGGGTGGTTGGCGGCCGGAATCAAAAAAAAAGAGGGCTAATGCAATCGCAGCAGATATTCCTCAGTACATTTCCATTACAGATCACTCGGTCAAGTGGGCCATTAAATACAGAAGTAAGCATTGTAATGTAGAACGCCTAAAAACAGAATTTACCAAAAATCAGGTGTTGTTTAAGGAAAACCCTCAAGTCTACAAGATTTCTTTCAAATCAGATCTTCTAGATTAGTCCCATTTCTCTAGCTTTCAGTTGTGGATAGAACAAAAATGTCCCCTCTTTAAGGTAATAAAAATTCTCAACGCCCCCTCTCCAGATGACAGATGAAAAAGGCCCAAGACAGACAGACATACATATGTACATGTGTAATTAATGGACATGCTATGGTCGGAAAACTGGTCTAGTGCCTTTTCCTCTCATGGAATCTATAAAATCAATCACAGAATTTCGTCGAATTGCCTCGTGAGTCACACTTTTCCGAATGCAGCTCTCTTTTTGGTCCCATTCTCCCGTTAAATCGGTGAGAGATCTGCAATTACAATCTGTTTTTGGAATGTGTGCGTGCCAGTGGCGTACGCAGGAAATCTAGGAAAGGGGCGCTTTTATTTTCTCTAAATAAAAGTGATATTTAATATTGTCAAGTTAAATATTTGGTGGATATGAAATCAGTAGAAGGGGGTTTAACCCTCAAAACATCCCCCTGCGTAAGCCACTGGGTGCAGTCAGAAAAAAAGGGGCAAAAGCGGGGTGTGCGTGAGTGTGTGTAATGTAATTAAAAAGAGTTGAGCAAATATTTGACGAACGTGCAGGAGCAATTTGGCGAAGGAGGAGTAAGGAGTGGGCGAAAAGAGAGAGTGGCCAAGGAGTCAAGTCGACAATGCGGGTGACTCTCTGCGGGGGGGTGGCAATGCGGTGGGGCGGGGGTGTGGAATGACGCACATATGACTGAGCGAAAAACCGGCAAAAGTCACAAGGGAGAGTAATAGTTACCAGGGTTGCCACCATCGGTTCAATTGCCTGTTAAAAGACCGTTTCAGAGGGCGCAACAATTGAAAGACAAAGTAAACAAGGTTAACCCATTTTGGTTTAATTTTTTTTGAATATTTTGATGTTTTAAAATTTAATAAAAATTAATGTCAGTAAAAGAGGGTCAACATGTGAACTATTTTCCATTTGTGTGCCACTAAAATGTTTCGTTGCAGTTAATCTGCAATCGTTCATGCTGCTTTTATAGATATGCCTCATAGGAAATGAGGTTATCTGTAATAAACTAATGATAAAATGGACAAATAAAAGGAGAATAGTTTTCAGCCCCCTCTGAGTAGACATTAACTGCCAAAAACCAACACTTCAACTCCAAAATATCTCCTCCTGTCTTTCTCTTTTTATACCCCACATTTCCAGTCTCTTTTTCCGCCCCCTCACTCCCCCTGCGGGGCAATTAACAAAAGGCACTTTTAATTATTGCTTCATTTACCCCGCGCAATGTGCTGCTTCCTCGCCTCCTTCCGATTTCGATTCCGATGTTTGTTTTTGTGTATATAAAGGCGGCAATCACAACACAATGGATCGGGGCACTTTAAAGGAACTTAATAAGCGCAGGCAACAAGAAAAAAAAGAACTGACGAAAAAAGGCGACGTATTTGGACCGAAACGGAACGCAGAGTCACAAAAAATAAAAATAAAATTGAATAATTGTGCACTTCGAATTCCGCGCGCGCTCTTTTTTCCAATCACTCTCGCACTCGCATCCGCCGTTCCGTTTGTTCAGTTTAGTTGTTGTTGTTCGTGTTCGTTCGCTTCGTTCGCCTTTCCAGCCTTTTCTTTCCGCTCCGCTCTGCGATGTCACGTCTCCTGCGCGCGTCGGTCGAATCTCAAATGGCGCACTCACAAGCTGACAAACTCGGAAACGAAACTCACGACAGAAACGAAACTGAAACGAACCGCACAGCAAAACAAACGCCGGAGAGCTGCCGGCGCTGCCAACCGGCCTGCGGATGCAAGCAAGTTGGCAGGCCTGGGCAGCAGATGCAAGTGCGTGCACGCAAAAAAAAAATCGGGGGTAATATACTTTCTACTATAGCCTATATCTTTGGCAAACATTAACACACGCAGTATATTCTTTAAACAACATTTTTATCTCTTCCACTACTGAATGACCAAACAAAATAATAATTGCAAAAACTACTTAAGATGTTATCTTGTTATTCTAAGACACTTTGTCATCGTAGACAGTATTGTGCATTTAACTTAACTCAGATGGATTAACTATCTTTCAGTATATTCATTAGTTACTTGTACCACTAATTTATATATCCAAAACACTGCGAAACCTCCTACTTTTAAGGAACAATTTGTTTTTTTTTTTTAATTTTATTGCTGTCAAACAACAGCTTATTCAACTATGCGCATACCTTTTTGCTGATGTGTAATATTTACTTTTGGGAAATTGAAAATTTGTGCGTGCTGGACAAGCAGAAATGGGTAGGTAAACGCATTTTTGCCGAATTTTGCTGACCTATGGGCGCAATTAAGCAAATTTGACACGCACCGAGAGGACCTGATGTCCTGCTGTGAATCCTTGAGGTGCACGCAGTCACGTCGTGCCATTGGGATCCTTGGGATGACTGTATAAAAACGAATTACTTATTGTATGTTTTCAATGCTGAGAACTGTCGAACTTTAAACAAAAGTAGAAACCGGTTTGTATTGCAATCCATTTTCCATTTTGTCCATTAAAACCATATCATAAGGAATCAAAACAATACAGGAACTGAACACACCTGATTTCATAAATATATAAAATATCTAATTATTATTAATTTTTTCAAATTCTAGAACCTATGTAGTTAGTTTTATATGTTTTTTTCGTATTAACAGCTGCAAGGTGTATCAAAATTACATGATTTTAATATCAAAATACCATCAAAATTATTTGATACTACATATATTATTATGATAAAATTTATCAATCGTTTGAATTAAGCTTTCGATTTTTCTGCGTATTACCATCCTGATCCAGAAACTAATCGACCTTCCTGGTCGGGGGTATGCCACAAACTGATGGAAAATAAAGACGCAAAAGGGGGCGGGGCAGCGCCCGCTGCTGCGGCAAAAACAAAGGGGGCAGCAACAACAACAACAGCAACTCCTCCGCTTTCGTTGTTGTTGTTGCAGTATTGTATCGCACATCGTCTTTCATCGGGGAATCGGGTTTGGTTTTGGTTTTTCTCCTACGTTCCGTTGCCGCTCTCGTATAAACAAACCAAGAACTTCAGGAAAACAAAATAACAAAACCCCAACGATCGGCCACTCTTTTAGAATTTATGCACGGTGAAAGTAATGGGGCAAGAACGGAGAAAGAAGCGAAGGAAAGAGCGAAAAAGTTAGTACACCAATTAATGTGTCGGCACTTTGTTGGGCTTGAAAAGTGTTGAGAGTTGTTGTTAGTGCCCCAGCTGGTCTAGAGATTAATCATCCCACTCTCCGCATTTTGTTTTTATTAATTTTCCTTTGGTCCACTTGACTGAGACGAATGGAAAATTTGGCCAAGAAAAAGCCATGCCCAAAACTTGACTACATTTTGAATAAATTATGCTCAAAATGTAGTTTTATTGATGAAGAGTTTTTTACACATAACACCATATAATGTGAATAATGAAACTAATTTACCCCCTAATGTTTCAAATGTTGTAAAAAAGGCAGCTTATGTATGTTAAATACACTCGAAAAAAAAGCTATTGTAAATTATAATTCCCTTAAAAAATGCACAAAAAAAAATTCATAAAATTAATTGAAATATTTTTGCCACAATAAATTCACATATTTAAATATAATGAAATTTTATGTTTTTTTCTGTGTAACTCTGCCCTATGACTTTTTTTTTGTGTGTTGTGTGGGTTCGAATTATGAAGTACAGAGGAAATAACTGAGAAACACAAACACATTTGGAGAAAACTTGGGAGATACTTACATTTGTTATTGTTGCTGCTTCCTCGAGGTTGTGTTGTTGTTGCTGCTGCTGCTGATGTTGTTGTTGTAGCTGTTGCTGGAGTAAGTGCAGTTGTTGCTGTTGTAGTTGCCGTTGTTGATGTGCCGCAATACCACCACAATCCATAGTAATTATGGGGACGAGGGGCGGGAGGGGGTGTGTGTGGGAGTGGGAGTGGAGTCGTCAATTGAGAGCGCCTCTCTTCTCCTCCTTTCGCTCGCCGTCTCTCCCTTTCTGTGTGGCGATCGCTTATTGCAGCGGAATGAAAAGCGAAACAGACATAATTGAAGAAATGCGATAGCGATCCGTCTTGAATTTCAACGATTCGCAGTAAGGGAGCCCCGAATCCCGGAGTTAACCGCTATTTCGGTTTTTGTTTCTGTTTGTGTCTCGTTTCTTCGTTTTTTTTTCAGCTAACTCTGCAGTTCGCCTTTGTCCATATTTTCGGTGGAAAAACCACTTCCTTGCTCTCTCGCTTGCTCTCGAGCTCCCTTTCGCTCTCTCTCTCTCTTTCTCTGCAGGCGTTGCGTGGGCGAACGAAGAGAGAGACGAACGCAATTTGGAGTTTTATGCACTGGGAGTAGTGAGTGTGTGCGTGCGCTGGCTCGTCTGTGTGACTGCTACCCCCACACACTTGCACTGCCTCTCTCTCTCTCGCTCGTACTCCAATTCCAACTCCAACTCCAGTTACAATTTCAATTCCAATTCGAATAATTTCCAATCGAACTTGAATTGGGAGGATAATTCGACAATTTCTACAATCTATTCACTGAATGCGAGTGCGAATCCTTTTTAGCTATTTGTTGTTGTTGTAGCCGCGCTGCGCCGATTGCATTTGCATTTGCATTCCCATTTTCATTTCGATTTCCCACAAAGGTGCAGTTTCCACCGCCCGCGGCCATCGGTGATTCACTCACAATTCGAGCCGGACACTTGGATGCGATGCCATGCCCAGACAGAACAGAAAAAAAAGAGGAACAAAACAAACGGTTGGTGCTATCGGGGAAAACTACGAAAAGTCCGTGCTTGGTTTTTCACAAAAAACGCCCCGAAAACGCCCGCACAACGTCAGTCCGGTCCGATAAGTCGACAAAGTTATCGTGGTTTAGGTGGAGATGGAGATACATCGATGCATCTGGATAATCGAATTCCATGGGAATTCCCTTCCATTCCATGGCGAATGTATCGGCTAGGCGGGGTGGGTGTCTCCGCTATCCAGAGTGATTCTAGGGTTGCCAGGGGCAATAAGCAAATTTTAAAAAACGATTTCCAAATTTCTTTCCACTCAGTTTCTTTTTAATTTCACTCCAGTTCTTGCGCACTGTTAACTTTGCAGTGAAATTATCACTCTGTTAATCTCGAATGTTAACTGAAAATCATCGATGATTGCCCACCTCTAGCGGGTGGGTGTCTCCGCTGTCAAGTCCAGGGTTGCCAAATACAGTATTTGTGATATCCATCCCTGGAAGCCGGCGAGGCGCAACAAACTTGCCGCGTTTTATTTTTATTCTGTTTGATAACTGAGAAACCCAGCAAAATGGATGGTAAGTGCTGCCCCCCGACCGCCTCCCACAGCAAGCTATACAATCCGCCGCCCACAGGTGTTACCGAGGACATGTGGACGCCGTACAAGCATCTGTACAGCGTTTTCCAGGCGACGGTGGCCAATCCGAGTGGCGTCACCTCCGATTTGGAGCTGTGCCTGAAGAAGTACAAGCACAGCTTCACGAACTTCCTGCGCAATCCGGTGGGTAGATGGGTTAGCTTCCAGGAGAACCCTTCAACTAATCCCCTGTGATCCTTTGTTTCAGGCCAAGAGCGAAAAGAGTCGCGGTCATTTGAGGAACGCCTTGAACGAGGGCATTCCGCTTCCTGGGCAATCGAGGAAGATCAAGCTATCGCAGGATCTGGTGGACGAAGCCCTCATCCTCTCGGACATGTTCGACCTGGACGAGGTGTTCGCCGTGGAGCTGCTTTGCACCGCCCAGCGCCAGCAGATGCATCATCCTGGTTTGCCCAGAGGATTGGTGGCGGTGCTACTTTACTATGATGGAAGAAAAGCCATCAGTTGCGCCCTGCGTGACATGTTCCAGGCGGTCAGCGGCGTCTCCTGGAGCACTGAGCTGCCCAGGGAGATCACCTGCCTGGTCACCAACTATGCGCAGAGTCTCGTGGAGGATTCTAATATCCTGGGACGCCTGCTGGAGCTGCTCGAGGAGATGGACGTGGACAAGGAGGTGGGTTCCGTATGATACCACCTCTAAATGTCATCATAAATGTAATCTTTTACCTGTTACAGTGCATCCTGCTGACCAAGAACCGCGCCTTTGGCTCCAAGAAGCACCAGAACCAGGTGCTCGGCCTCTACGAGGACATCCAGCGAGCGGTGGCCATGGCCCTGTTCCACTGGTCGGCGCAGCGCGGCCTGCCGCGACCCATTGCCATCCGTCTGCTGCAGCAGCTGGCCAGCCGGAAGACCAACGATGCGGATGGCAACATCGACGATGTGACGCTGATCATGCTGATGGCCCTGCTGTACGCGTACGACACGTCGGTGCTGCTGGTCAGCGAGCATACCAATCCGCACACCGCCCGCCTGCCGATACTCAGCGATCCGGACTTTGCCAAGGGCTTCCTGGAGGCGCTCTATGCGCAGAGCAGCTGGCAAACGCCGCGATTGGATGCGATTATCACGTATAGCTTTGGGCTCACGCTGGCCAGCTTAAGGCATGCGCCGGGGCAGCTGCAGGCGGCCGCTTTGTCGGCCATCAACCGCGACGAAATGCTCATCGACGAGGCTCTGGGCGCCCAGGTCTTTGGCTTCTTCTACCGCCTGCTGCTCGAAAAGGATCTGGTCTACACGTGAGTACTAGCCAGGGTTCGGAAAATAGCACAGACTGTAAAAAACTTGGGCTATTAACATGTTAAGTGTCAAAGTATTGACTTGTGTGTAAAAAATTGTATCCTACATATGTTAGAAACATAAATAACACACACATATCATTTGTGTTATTTACACAAAGTGTTTTTTACACAGCGTGTTTTTAACACAGTGAGTTTTTGACATTCAAGTGTCGGAATTGTATGTGGAACCGAAAAATGCACGGTTTTCTAGAGTATACGAATTCATATATGCTTTCAAATGGTTAAAATCATAGTGAAATGTAATTTTCGTAAAATGTAATTTTTGTTTTAAAAACACAGTGTGTAAAAAGCACGTCGTGTTAATAACACATTGTGTAAAAAACACATTTTAACACTTTTGTATTTGACACACATGTCAAAAATTTTGCTCTCGCTGTAAAATACCATTTTCCATGTTTTTAACATTTTTAACATCTATATTTATATAATCTCTTACTTATATCTTATACTCCTCCCGCAGCACCGAGTTCATTTACCGCCGCGTTCACCTGCTCATCACGGACTTTATCGACTTTATGCACGCCAAGGTTTCGGAGTTGCGTGGTCGTGCAGATGAATCGGCTCGCACGGTCATCAGTTTCCTGAACGAGGGCCTTGAACCGCCGCCCAACCTAGACTCCAACTTTGAGCTGCTCATGCTGTGCGTGGCCAAGTTGTATGGCGATCCGAGGGTCAGCATTAAGCTGTGCAACGAGTACTGGGGCCCCAGCGACCCCACGGGTTCCACCTTCGGTGTTATTTTGCCCACTGCCTTTAAGAACACCTCGCGTTCGGTGTCGCTGTTCAAGTTTATTAGCCTGGCCAGCGAACTGCTGCCGCAGACTCTGTTTAAATCCTACCTCAAGATGATTTCTGGACTCACGCGAACGGAATTCTCCGCCCGCTGCGCCTTCAACATGCTCAAACTGCCCCAGGTGACCACTGGCACCTATGCCGTGAGCTGGGATCACTTCTTCTCCACGCTGGCCAACTACTACAAGTGATTATTTATTCTATATACCATAAACTACATCCTAACATAACTATATATTTCCAGTTTAATGCGCAACGACTTCAATACTAATATTAGCACCGGTGGCGATACCATCTATAGGAGTCGCTCCATCCCGAGGATCATCACGCAACGCGAAGCGGATCATCTGGTGGCCGTCATGGGCATCATACAGGCGGTGGCCGAGCACGACGAGATATCGCGCATCATGATCTGCGAGCAGGCCAACTGGCAGCCTCCCCAGGTGCTCCTCGGCCTGGTGGCCTGCTCCACGCCGCTGCTGCTCAAGGCGGAGATACTCTTCACGCTGGCCGCTCTGGCCAAGTCCAAGGAGACGGCGCGGGCCATCTGGTCGCATTTGGAGGATTCGCAGATTATACCCACTGTCCCAGTGGCCAGCAACTATGGGCAGTGCAGTTTGGCGGAGGAAATCGAGCAGAACGAGAGCCGTTTGGAGCAGTACAAGCTGACGCGGGGCATTCTGCAGCTGCTCTACACTCTGATGACTGGAAATATGCCCAAGAGTTTAGGAGTGGGTCCAAGGAAGGCCGGCTACGATGCGTATTTCAACTTTGTGCTGGAATCGGTGCTGCTGAAGTTCTACAATCGAGCGTACAAGGATCCCGCCGAGAAGTGGCAGGTGGGGGCGCAGTGCCTGAAGCTGATGTACTACCTGCTGGCCACCTATCGTCCGCGTGCCTCGGACTTTCAGGAGACGCGCGACGAGCATCCGTATCCCGGCTACCATGTGATGATGCAGCTGCAGGTGAAGTCCGATATGCTGCACCTCCTCCTTCGCATTGTGGAGGAGGCGCGCGAGCGGCTGGACGACTACAATCGCTTTCACGGCAAGGAGCTGCTCGAGGAGTGCTCCCTGTACGCCCTGCTGCTCCTCGAGGCGGCGCTGGCCAAGCAGAACGCCTTCTTCGAGACCCATTCGGCGGCCAATTGCCCCGTGATGCTTTCTGGACTGAATCGCATGCTTCTCGACCTGAATCCTCGCAGCAGGAAGCCCGATCATGTGCTGAATATCGTCAAGTTTGTGACCTACAACAGCTGGCTGCCGCGTCATTCGCTGGCCGCCGTCAAGATCCTGAGTGCGGTGACCCAGCTGCCGAATGTCTCGGCCCAGATACTCAGCATGTACGCGCAGGGCAGCAACGAGAAGCTGGAGATCCGGCAGGGATTTGTCGAGTGCCTGGAGATGGAGGTGGGCGAGGCCAGGCAGAGCGACGAGCTGCTCGACCAGCTGGCCTCCAATGATCATGTGCCCTTCCTGGGTTTCAACGAGGATGGCGATCGCAGGGAAGCAGGAGATACTGAATCTCGTAGCGAACCGAATACGGAGGAGGCCGCTCTGGAGGGCAGGCCGGCGCGCATCGAGCTGCAGCTGAAGGAGGCCATTGTCCAGCTGTTCGAGATGAATCTCAGCCAGCAGCTGCCCAACTTTGTGTACTTTCTGCTGGGCGTCGATGTGCTGCGCGACTTTATGGCCAACGAAAAGCAGCATCTGGGCATTGAGATGCACTGTTCGTGTGTTAACTCCTTGGTTTTGCTGCTGGAAAAGTATCTGGAGCAGCAGCGGCACAGCGAGGAGTACTGCGAGCACACGGCCAACATTGTGGAGCGCATCTATCATCTGTTTCACGGACTCTGCGCCAATCGCCGCACCACGGAGACCATACTGCGCTACTTTCGGCTCACCTGCAACGACTTTCTGCTGCGCCACCTCAACTCGCTGCCCTTCCGCCAGCACCGCGAGGATCATGTGCTGCACGCCATGAGTCACCTGCTCAACTGTGTGTCCATCGATGTCAAGTTGGCGGCCACTCATGGCCAGACGACGCGCTACAATCTGCTGTGCGATATTCTGCTGATGGGCAATGGCACGGAGGCCCAGCGATCGGCGCATGGACTGCCCATGGAGCTGGGTCACCAGTCGGCGCCCTTCTACGCCATGGATTTGCTGCCAAGCGCAGGAGGAGGACCTGGCTCGGGATCGGGTTCAGGGTCGGGTTCGGGTGTCCAGGGAGCGGGAGCCAGTACATTGAAGCCACCACTCCTCCAAGAGACGTCGCAGGGACTGCATGCCAACCGGCTGCTCGATTGTTTGGTCCTCGAAATGGACACTCTGAGTCAGCCGCAGCTGGAGTTCTTCGACATGCAGCTGACCACGCAACTCTTGAGGGACTGCGAGTCCAGCGACGCCAATCCGCTGATCAATGTGCGCAAACTGCACTACATTCTGCACGACGAACTGCGCATGGTGCAGAGCACCATAGCCAGTGGCCAGCGGAAGGCCATCTCCACGGAGATCACGGTGCTGCTAAAGCATGCGGTTAATCTGAATAGGGTGCGGACTCAGCGCTGCGCCACTTTGGCCTTCATGGAGGCCTGGGGTCAGCTGGTTCAGGTGCTTTTTAGCAGCATGCCCGAGGCTGTGCTACCGGTGGCATTGCGGCGCCAGCACATCGTGGATATCATCGAGAAGATCCTCATCAAGGTGCAGCCCATACAGCCGATCATCGAGATCTCCATTCAGGTCAGCGAAACGGTGCTGCTGCTGCTGGCCAATCTGCGCTACTGCTGCTACCAGGCGGAGGATCAGCGGGGATCCGAGGATCATCCGAATGAGGAGTCTTTGGCCAATGGCAATGGCATAGATGCGCAGGCGGGCAAGATGAGCCTGGGCCAGAGGACCATCGGCAATGGCGAACGGGAGAACGGCGCCGGCGCGAATAGCAGCAATCTGCGGTTCATCCTCAAGAGCCTCGTCGAGTGGATCATGATCAGCGAGGTGAAGTCGCAGAAGCTGCGCATCAATCTGTACAGCGCCCTGCTCAACTGCCTGCGCATAGCGAAGCGCCTGCGCACCGACGAGCAGCTGGAGTACCAGGAAACGTAAGTGCATCTAATAGATATAATTAATTAGAATTTTTAGTTTAATAGAATTGAATCAATTTGAAATTTGAGTCTAATAGAAATTTAATTTTGAGTTTAATAGAATTGAATGAATTTAAATTTTGAGTTTAATAGAATTGAATGAAGTTGAGTTTAATAGAGTTGAATGAATTTGAATTTTTAGTTTAATAGAATTGAATGAATTTGAATTTTGAGTTTAATAGAATTGAATGAATTTGAGTTTTGAGTTTAATAGAATTGAATGAATTTGAATTTTGAGAATTGAAATAATAGAATTTAATTTAATTTAATAATTTAATTTAATATAATTGAATGGCATGAATTCCGAAATAATTCAAACGACAATTTCTTTAGAAGAAGAAAGTGCCATAATTTTGTGATTAAATCTGCCTGAATTTTTTTTACTATGCAGTTTACATTGATTTGTTAAAAAAATTTCCACTTTTTGTTCTCAAAAAATTATTTATTCATTCATTCAGTTCGAAATGAATTAGAAAATCATTCAATTTATTAAATATTTTGAATATTTTTGTTTTATATGAATGAATTAAATAGAATTTGGAGTTTAATAGAATTGAATGAATGAACGGCATATATTCCGAAATAATTCAAACGACAATTTAAATCTGCCTGAATTTTATTTACTATGCAGTTAACATTGATTTGTTACAAATTTTCCACTTTTTGTTCTTAAAAAAAAAACACAAATAAAATCTGGCAATTTCAATTCGAAATGAATTAGAAGAACATTCAATTTCACATTTAATTCAATTAAGCAAATCAGAAATTTCATGGCAAACAAATAAAACAAAAATTGAATGATTCACGCAGGGCTCTAGTATCTAGTATCCAATAGCTAAATCTTCTAAAGGTAATTTCCCCTTTTCCAAATCAGATTGACGGTGCGCCAGGAGAGCTCTGGCCTGGAGATGCGGCGCGACGATCGCCAGCGGCTGAAGGCAATGGCTGCCGATGTGATTGGAACCTTTGGCGAGAAGCTGATCGACACCATCTGCCATGATGCGGTCACCGGACACGATGTGTGCCGCATGCTGGCGCTGGCCTGCCTGGACATGATCTCCGAGCTGCATGCGGTGAGCACGCTGTGCGACTTTGTGGCCACGCGCGGCTACCTCAAGCACATGCTGGACAGCCTGGGCAAGTCGAGCGAGGCGCTGTGCTCGATCCTCCACCCAGTGCCGGATCATCTGAGGCCGCTGTATGTCTACGAGTCGCGAATGGCCTTCCTCACGCGCATGGCAAACACCACAGTGGGCGCGCGATTGCTTCTGGCGGAGCGAGCACTTGGCGTGCTGTCGAATATGCGGGTCTACGATCTGCAGCCTGACCTCAAAGCCAGCGAACTGAAGCGCGACGAGCCGCAGACCTTCCTGCCGGCCATTGATGAGCGCTTCCGCGCGATCCTACTGCCCGCCTTGGGCCTCTGCGATGCCATTGTCAACTCGCTGGGATCGCGCAACAATTCGGCTGCCCTGCAGGTGCTCAACTTTCTGTTCGCCCACATCGACATGGTGGAGGCGATGCTGCGCACGGCCACGCCGTTCATGGACTTGGGCCACCTGCAGCAGCTGGCCGTGATCAGCAATCTGTTTGCGCGCACCACCACGCACGAGGTGACGGCGCTGGAGGACAGCCTGGATGTGGAGAACGATCTGGAGCTGCGCAATCGTTTGGGTCGCCTGCAGCAGCTGATGATTGTGGTCTTTGGGCGATTTTCCGTCAGCGAAGCTACCATTCGGCGAATGCTGCAGCAGGATCAGGAGCAGAACGGCAGCAGCGGCGATCAGGCGGAGGGCTCGAAGACGCTGCGCGTCAAGTATTTCCTGGACATTGCCGCGAATCTTTCGCTCTATTGCCGCAATGCGGTGACCAGCCATGTGAAGGACAGCATGACCTCCAAGTATTTGCTGACCACCATGATCAACGATGTGACGCCGCTGTGGGTTTATGATTTGTCTTGGTTTATAAGTAAGTTAATAACTCTTTTATTTTTCAAATAGAACTGGCAAAATGGACAGCAAGAAGCTGACGGCCATCATGCACACCATCCTCAACCAGCTGAAGGGCTCCATTGGCTACTACCTCTCGCAGAAATCGATTGCCGACAATCTGCTGCAGCAGCGCGCCTCCCTGCCCAACATAAGCTTCGGTCCCAACGGTGAGTGCTCCTGGGATAGCTATCCCCCTATTCTTATCCAATCTAATCACTTATTCCCCTCCCTAAAAGGCAAACAAAGCTATGTGGATTTGAGCCAACGGCACAGCGAGAAGCGCAGCGAACTCATGCAGGCCGTCTTTATTGCCGAGCAGAATCTGTATTTGCTGTGGATCCACCTGGACTTCTATCTGCGCAACGCCGTCGTCTACGCCAACGAGAATCGCAACGCCATCAACGAGAGCATCCTGGACGCCACCAACGCCTCCGTGCTGAATGCCTCGCAGGACGAGATCCTGCAGCTGAAGCAGCTGCTCATCTCCACCTTCAACGAGACCTTCTGCACGCAGCTAATCACCGCCAGCGAGGACTACACGGTCAAGTGCAAGGGCTTCAATGCCTCGCTCCTGCGCCGCATCAAGGCGCTCGTCCAGTTCGCCCCCGTCACTGCCAACGGCGACAATTCCTCGTTCATCTCGTAGGCGGCGCACAGCACACACACACATCTCTAGTTTAATGATTCAATAAAAATGAAATGTTGATTTTCCTAAATGTTGAGGAGTTTCTTGTCTCTTTCTAGCTCGCGATTCGAATCCTTTTCCTAATCCTAAATGTTTTCTTCTCCTTTTTTTTGTAAGTTATATATGCTACATATATTTCCCAAAAATATTAGGTATTTTTTTTTATATCACACGAAAAGTGTCATGGATTTTAAAAGAAATATTCATATTTTTGTCAAAAACCAAAATCCCGAATTTCCATAAAAAAAAAAGAAGTTTTTTGACCAATACAACATGAATATTGATCCAAATATGGATTGTTATACCTTTCTGAACTCGTTATTGAATTTCCAATCGATTGGCATTTAAACCTAGACATATTAATTTTTTGTCATTTTTCGTAAAAAATCATGATGTACCCCTTATAAAAAAATGTGAAAATTGGCGAAAATTGTATTTTTTCAAAATCACAGGGAAAGTGTAATGGGTCTATTTATTATTTTGTTATCTGTTCAAAACAGTATGTATTTTTGGTGTAGGACAATTTTTGGCCAAGTTACAGCAAAAAAAGAAACAGAAAAAAATTGAAATTTTATCAAAAACCCAGATCAATTTTTCACAAAAAAATAATTCGTTTTTTGACAGTAACATAAAAAATATTCATCCGAATATGGATTGTGATACCTTTCCGAACTCGTTATTAAATTTCCAATCGATTGGCATTTAAACCTGGACATTTTATTTTTTTTGCCACTTTTCGCAAAAAATCATGATGTAACCCCTTGTAAAAATGCGAAAATTGGCCCAAACATATAATTTTTATAATATGTAATTTTCACATCAGTTAAAAAAGTTAAAAGAAGAAATGCAATTGAAATGCAATGGGAAAACTGAACACAATCATGGGAAATACTTAATATTAATATGTACACTTTACATTTTTTAAAAAACACGCACATTTTATACTATTTATTTTTTCCTAACAAAAATCGTATGGTTCAAGTTGTACCCATCAAATGCTCCTGGTGCCAGCACCTTTCTCCATTCAATTCAATCCCAATCCTAAACCAAATCCGCTGGAAGTCCCAGTGCATCAATGGTGGCCATCAGCTGCTCGCTTTGGCCGAACTGCGATCGAAAGGCGGCGGAGAGCTGGCAGAGAATCAGAAGCGGTTCGCAGTAGAGGTTGATCTCCTGCTTGTCGAACACCTCCACCTCCGCATCCCCATCCTCGTCGACGGTCGGCTCGCCATCCTTCGCCTCGGTGGCCAGGAAAGGCTCGGCGATGAGTTGGAAGAGTCGCAGGAGGAACTCTGGATCATCAGCCTGCTGCTGCAGTTGGGCCAGCACCACTTTAAGGAACTCCGGAGTCAGGGCACTGGGCAAAATGGCTACCTTCCGATCCTTTTCCCGCCTAAATCCTGCGCTGCTCACCAGCTGGGCAGCCCGATGACGCACCCACTCCGCTTCGTCCAGCAGCAGGAGCAGCACGAGACGTATAAAACGACCGACCAGCTCAACGTCCATGTTGGCCACTTCTGAACCCAACTGATCCTTTAGATGATTGCGAGCTAATAAGTCACACAATTCGGCAGCCTGATGACGCAGGTAGACCGGCTGGACGGGATCAACCAGCCGCAGGGCGTAGTTCAGCAGCGGTGTCCAGTGTCTCCTCTCCAGCTTCTTCCTCTCCGCAATCAGTCGCTTTAAACCCAGCAGCAAACCCGCCTCCTGGTGACTGGAGTACTTTTCCGAGCATCGCTTGACCAGCTGATTGAAATCCAATCCCGGTTGCTCGAGCAGCGGCTGCAGGGCAGCCAGGCGTCCCGCCAGCTGGAGGCTCCAACAGCCGCTAGAAGCACTCTTCATCATTTGCAAAACGCAGGAGCGAATGGCCTGCGATTGATACAGCTCCTGGCCAATCTCCTCCCGCTGCTCGCAGCTTAAAGTCTTGTAATAGCGTTGAATATCGCCGGCGAACTGGAAGTGCTCCACATCTAGTTGGCTAACCAAGGAGTGCTCCTCCTTTCCCAGCGATCTCTGCAGCAGAATAAAGAGCCACAGCTCCACCTTGAGCTCGTCCAAAGCCCAGAAGGGCTGGCTTAGATCCTCGACAATGTGCAGCACGATTCCCTGCGTGATGCCGCGCAATCGGTGGAGATGAAGGCCAAACAACTGGTGGAAACGCATGGAGATTCCCTGCTCCCGGCATCTTCTGTGGATCTCCAAATGATCTAGTAAATACACAGCTTCTATCTCCGTCAGCAACTGGAAATCAAGCTCGGTGGCATCCTCCATGGCGGCCACCATTACGTCCACCAGCGCACTAAACGCACACACGTCGCGCTGGAGGATGGGAGCTGCCAGGGAGGCGAGCGTGTGCAGCAGCATCCTGGTCAGCGGGGGTCGCGTCCAGCGCACCAGGCGGTGCAGATGGAGCAGCAGCAGCAGCTGTCCATGCAGGAGATTCGTGTCCAGGTGGAGGGATGCCTTGAAATAAAGGGAAATCTTTGTTAGAGCAGCCTCTTTCTAGGTGATGGTTTTACTTACCTTGAGCCGCAGTCGCAGCTGCAGCGCCTTGAGCTCCACCACCAGTCGCCTGATCTCGGCAAGCGCCTGCTCCTGGCTAACAAAGTTGGCCACCACCAGGGCGGCCCTTTCGCGGGTCATCAGATCGTGGGAGCGGCAGATCTTCAGCAGGAAGGGCACAAATTCACTTAGCTAGAAGGAAATCAAAGATATTTAAAAATAGGAATAGGAATTAGATATGTGAAATATGTGAAATAAATGGAATGTTTTTCTAATTCTAATGAATGAATAATTTTAATGAATTTTTTAATTTACCAGATTATTTTTTGCCTTCTTTTGAAAACAAAAAGTGAAACATTTTTAAAAAATCAATCGTAAATAAAATTTAGGCAGATTTAATTACAAAATGAAGGCCCTTTCTTCTTCTAAATAAATTATCGTTTGAATTATTTCGGAATTCATGGCATTCATTCATTCAATTCTATTAAACTCCAAATTCTAATTAATTCATTCATATAAAAATAAATAAGAGAGAACGCTATAGTCGGGTTGGTGTCCCGACTATCTAATACCCGTGCGAGGGAGATGGATACATACAATTTTTTTGATTGCGCATAACTTTTCAATGAATGGTTCGACTTAAAAAGTGTCTTCTACATTTCGATAGGTATAAGTATACACAACAAAATTGCATTTATACTTTTCGGAAATCTTTAAAGACACATTTTAGAATCGTTAGTGGGCAATTGTGGGCATTAGAGGGGGCGTGGCGCTCGGCTGAAATAAACTTGCGCTGCGTAGGAAGCCCAAGAATATGTGTGGGAAATCTCAACCTTCTAGCTTTTGTAGTTTCCGAGATCTCATCGTTCATACGGACAGACAGACATGGCTATATCGAATATACATATATACTTAATGGGGTCGGAAACGCTTCTTTCCAGCTGTTACATACTTTTGCACGTAAGGTGTATAAAAATAGGAATAGAAATAGAAATCATCTTACATTCAAGGTGGACTCGGTGCCCTCCAGCGAGGAGGGATACAAACGGCTAAGCATGAGCAGCATGGCCTCCAACTGTACCGCCTGCCTCCGCTTGCCGCTCCTTCCCTTCTCCACCTGGCTAGAGTCCATCTCCGCCGCCTCCCGCTGCAGAGCGGCATGAAAGTAGTCAAAGAGCTGCGGATAGCGGGTGAAGAAGATGCGTCCCGTCATCCGGTTGCGCACATGCAGCTCCCCGCTCTCCATTCGCGCCCTCTCCACCCCGAAGATGCGGACAATTAGGGCAGCCAGCAGGAGAGTGGCGCAGTTCCGCTCCGCCCACTCCTCGGCCAGCAGGAGGCCATCCAAGGCGCACTGAATCCCTCGAGCCATGAATTCGGTGACCAGATCGGCCAGTTCGCTGCAGCGGAAGAGGGCGCGCAGGATGTTCAAGGCGTGACTGCGGGCGGTGATGCCGGAGGAGCCACCTGCTCTCTGTTCGCACACCTCCAGCAGCCGTTCCATGCAGCGATGCAGGGTGGCATGGGTGCCCAGCCGGAGTTCCGTGCAGATGAGCGCCTGCAGCATGAACGGCATGCCGGCACTGCGTCGCGTGGAGCACAGATGATTGGATGCCTCTCCACTAACCATCGCCATGGCTTCGCTCACCCATTGGCCAGGCAGCCGGTTGAGATGCACTGCCTCGCTGTGCCACAAGCGCCGGCAGAGCATCGTGAATCCCACGTAGGCCTGCTCGAAGGCTCCGCGATGCTTCGTCTCGGCCAGCAGCTGCAGGAACAGCTCCCCAATGGCCTCCAGTTGCTTGCTGCTGAGCAGGAAGTCATCCTCTTGCTGCTCATCTTCCAGCGGCGCTCGCTGCACCAGTTCGCCCAGGATGAGGCACACCTCCTTGATGCAGCGCCAGGCGCACAGCAGCACCATCTGCGGCGTGGTCCGCACCTGCTGCAGTGCCTCGCTGGGCAGCCGGCGGCTGAGCACATTGGCCAGCGGCTGATCCGTCTCCTGGTCGCGGGTGGCGGGCAAATGGCCCTCGGGCGAGGCGCTGCTCACCACGGGCAGGGCCACGCAACTGATTTCGAGGCAGATATTTACTAGTTCCTCAATGTAGAGACGCCAACTGGGCTCCCTGGTTAGTTCCTGAAGCTCCAGTTGCTGCATTAGATGGCGACTGGCGAAGAGCAGGCCGTACAAGGGATTCAGCTTGGCTGCCTCGGCGAGATCGCTTTGGGCGAGGCTCAGGCCCTCTCTCAAGTGATTAAGCAACCACAGAAGAGCTCGATGGGTTCTGGATTCCTTTGCTTCCCCGGGAGACTTGCTAGGCAACTCATAAGCCACCTCCTTTGCCTCACAATAAACCTGCAGGCGAAAGGCTCCGGTAACCGAATCCGGTGGCCTTAGCGAGACCAGCAGCTCCATGATCTCCTCCGGCCGGAAGCGCGAGCACGATTGCAGCCTCTTTAGTAGCCGGGCGGCCAGCAGCTTGTTGTGCTCATAGCTATCGCCCAGGCAGTGCTCTAGATTCTCCACAGCCTCCGCCGGCAGCAGCAGCTCCTCGCTGGGCAGGCCCACCGCCAGGCAATCCTGGAGTAAATGCAGCGACAGCCAGCGGCGTCCGTAGTTCGCAGTGGGAAAGAGATTCCTCGCCAGATGGCTGGTTAGATTGATCAGCAGGCTGTGCAGCTCCTTGCCCGCTGCAGAGGGACGCTTCTGGTGCTCCGCCAGGCCCAATTGGATGCGCCGCAGAGCCTTCTGCAGCAGACCATAGCCCAGCTGGCGGAGATGGGCACTCGGATTGTTGGCATTGTGCTGGAGATACAGATGAATGGCCTGCGCCTCCTCCTTCGTCAAATGCTCGCTGCGACGCGGCGTCTCCACCACGAAGCGCAGCGCCAGGAGGCGAGTGTGGTCATCCAGGCCGAGCAGGGCCTGCTCCACCTCCGTCCTGAGCTGCTGGAGGAGCTCCTGCCGCCGCTCGCTCAGCTGCCGCACGCTGAGAATCGCCGACAGCTTGCTGCTGAGCGGCAGGCGGGCGTCCCGCAGGAGCAGCTGAGCCAGAGAATGCGGTTCCAGCTGCACCGCCTGGGTGAGCAGCTGCTCGATGACCGGACGACGCTTCTCGGGCACCTCAATCGCCGCCAGAAGTTGGCCAAACCACAGGCGGTGCCACTCGGCGAAGGGCTGTGTCTTATGGGCAGATACCATCATGGCTGAAAAGGAATTATAGAGATTAGTTTTAGGGATCTACATTTAAGAAAAACTTCCTTGATTTAAGAAAAACTTTCTTTACTTAAGAAAAATTTCCTTAGATTTAGAAATACCTTTCTTGTATATAGAAAAAAGAAATTTTAATGGCGATTTTCTAAAATTTAGGGTTAAATTTATTTTGAGTGTAGCAGGCACCGTAACTGTTATGAGTAGACATCGAATTTTAGGTGAAATCGTTATTTTTAAATACGATTTAAAGCCACATTTGATTGGTAACAAATTTTATTTATTAAGTTATAATTAGATTTAGGCAAAAACTTAATTGAGGTTTTTGTAAAAAAATTGTAACCAATCAAATGTGGCTTTAAATCATATTTAAAAAAACGATTTCACCTAAAATCCGATGTCTAGTTATGAGTTTTATGTTAAAAATCACATTTTAACAGTTATTTTCGGATTCGTAAAGTAAAACTTAAAGAATAACTGATATTTTTTGAGTTTTATAATAAAAGTTTTACAAATAACAGTTATTCGTCGTGATCAAAAATAAAACTCAAACTTGATTTATGGGGATTTTGTATATAAAAATAAATTAAAAAAAAATATATAGTTATACAATATGTGCGGTTGGCTTTTTTTAAAGATTTTTAGAAAGTAATATAAAATTAATTTAATTATTTAAAATTTTTTAAATTAAGGGAATAACTGTTACACATAAAAATCAACAAATAACAGTTATTTTTTGAGTTTTATTATAAAAATCAAATAAATAAAAATCATTACGGATTTGTAAACTACAATGGCTAACAAAAATAGTGTTGTATTTAAAAAAATTTAAGAACTCTTCCAAGTGCATGATTGTTTTGGTAAGAAAAATTTACAAAAAACTCAAAAAACAACGATTACACTGTGCAGCATTTTTAGTGCTTTTTAAATTTACCTCGATGGATGCTATATTTTTGGATTCGTTACAAATTCCCAAGTTAAACTGCGTTTTCCAAAAGGTTCCCCGACGCAAGGATTCTTAGCAAAAGGACCTCAAAGTTCGAAAAATGCTGAAATTGGCCAACTTTGCGGAGCTCTCAGAGGCAAATGGATGCATGGCTTGGTTCGATGTTAAAGTTTTTTAAAAGATACACCCTTTATCTTTTAAACCCCATACTTAAAAAATTTTTAAGATTTTTTTTAAGGCAGGAACAAATTCTAGAAAGCATAGTCAAAAAACATAAAAGTATACAGCTGCGGTCAAAATGGTAGTAGTGTTGCCGCCCTGTGTATTTAAAAGTTTGTTGTTGTAATTGATCTTTTCCTGGTAATATTGTATTGATTATAATTTTACTATTAGACTAATTGGCTAAGAAAAAATTACAACATTAAACTTATAAAAACACAAACACACTATTTTGACCGCAGCTGTATGTTTTTCAGTTTTTTGACTATGTTTTTTGGAATTTATTTCTGCCTTTAAAAAAAATCCTAAAATTATTTTATGTATGGGGTTTGAAAGATAAAGGGTGTATCTTTTAAAAAACTTTAACTTCGAACCAAGCCATGCATCCATTTGCCTCTGAGAACTCCGCAAAGTTTGTCAATTTCAGCATTTTTCGAACTTTGAGGTCCTTTTGCTAAGAATCCTTGCGTCGGGGAACTCTTTGGAAAACGCAGTTTAACTTGGGAATTCGTAACGAATCCAAAAATATAGCATTCATCGAGGTTAATTTTTGATGCTGCATAGTGTTATTTCTGGATTAATAAATAAACTCAAAAAATAATCCTTAAAAATTTAGTTTTTGGATAAAACTTATAGTAATAACAGTTATTTTCGGTCCCTGAAATTGAATGTTCTTCTAACTTATTTCGAATTGATTGAAAGAATGAATAATTTTTATATAAATTTGATAGCTTTAAAGAGAGATTCCTTACCCTTGAACAAGGCATCCACGCTGTCCTCGCAGCCCAGGAATCGCGGAAAGATGACGGCAAACAGCGAGGGGCAGTTGTCAAGGGATCTCCCGACTCCCGCCACCGCAACGAGCTGCTCCAAAGCCAGGCAGCTGGCATTCAGGGGAGCCACGCGCGCCTCAAACTGCCGGTAGACCACCTGGAAGAGCTCCTCCTCTGGGAGAGCCACCTGCAGCACCTGGCGCAGCAGGGCGCTACTCATGTGCCGCACCGAATCCGTGCCACTGGAGATGTTCTGCAGGGCAAACACTTGCAGCTCCGCGAGGATCTGCCGGTAGATAATCCCCTCTGCGCCCGCGGGCATCTCGCCCAGCGATTTGGAGTAGATGAACAGGTGTTTGGACAGAAAGACGAGCAGGTTGCTCACGCTGCTCTCGCGTTCGCCTACTGCGATGATGGATTTTAGGATAGCCAGTGCCTGGGGAGCATACTCCGCGTAATCCGTGCGCCGCAGGACGAGCAGGGCGGCCGTCTGGACGGGAAGATCCTGCTCCGACTGCGGTTTCGAGCACTCCGCAATGTAATCCCCGAATCGGTTAGAGAAACGCGCCAGGTGACCGATGAGCAGGCCCGCAATGGAGCGCACATCCCAGGGCGTGTCCACGTGGCGGGCCACCTGCCGAGCCACCGCATCCGCTGATCCCAGCAAGCTTTGGGCTAACTTATCGCTCCACTCGGACAGCAGGCTGACCAGGAAGCGCAGGGCATTCTGCACGTAGAGGTAGAGCTCATTGCGACGCGTGGGCGAGAGTTGCAGGGCGGGATTGGTGATATCCGACCAGTAGCCCTCCAGGGCGGCGGGCAGCAGGGCGGCGAAGAGGAGCAACTGGTGACCCAGAGCCTCGCGGCCAAAGGGAAAGTTCTGCAGGCAGGCATTCGCAGACACAAAGATATCGTTGGTGGAATCGTGGCTTACAGCTGGACGGCTGGCCATCTCGGCGAGGGAATGCTGCAGTGCCTCCAGCAGCTGTTCCTTGGAGAAACTCCTTTTCGGGTCATCCTTTTGCTTGGTCAGCGAATTGACGGAGAAAAGTCTGTGGGTAAAAAGGAGTTTTTACATAGGATTAGGTGGACTAATTGGTGGGCTCACCGTACTTGGTCAGCTGGTTGCGCACCGCGTGCTTCAAAGGACTCGCGAGGAGAAGATCGGCGAGGAAGCGAGCCACTTGCTCCAGATCCTCATCCTGCTGATCCTGCTGCTCCTTCCTGAAGAAGATATCCTTGACCGCCACCACCTGCTCCGCACTGCTCTTGGCCTCCGCAAACCGACGCACAAATCCATGAGGAGCTGGGATGCAAAAGATTCCGAAAAGATTCAAAATGTAAACACATGGATGGGCCAGCAACTGGTGGAACCCCAGAAACTCACCGGAAGTCCAGCGCTTGGGCAGCGGAACGAGCGAGTCGCGCAGCTCCGCGAAGCGCTTGGGGTGCGCACACAGCTTCAGGGCCGCCACGCGCAGGTTCAGATCGTTCATATTTCGGTCAGGATCGGAGATTTCCAAGGATATCGAAGGGAACCGGCAAAAAATAAAGCTAAAAAAGTTACAGACTGGAAAGCAGGGCTGACAATCTAGCTCTTTTCCCGCCAAATCTGACACAGAGTTGCCAGACAAATTTTTAATAGACAACAATTAATCGATAGGTGTGTGTACTCGCTAAGTTAGCCGCGTCACACAAACCAAACGTATAACAGATACGGCCTCACCAATGTTATGGGTGTGTGCCGCGGCTAAGTTAGAGAGACCCTGCGTTTCCAGTATTTCTGGTATATTTGAAAAAACAAAAATAGTATTTAAAGCATTTTCCCCCTGAGCCGGACGGTATTATTCCACTCCGCGGTTACACTTTTTCTGCTGACGAATTTCTGGCTTTTTTGCATGCATTTTGCAAGTGAAGTTTTCCAAGAAACCGAAGAGTGAAAACCACGAAAGTCGAGCGAATCGAGAGGAAATTCAGCTGGAATTCGGTGAAGAAAGGCACGTTGATCGTAGTTTTTTTTCTCGACATTTTCTGCAAAGCCCGTGCGTGAGTGTGACTGTGTCCCCCTCTCTCTCGCTCTTCCTTATTTTTTTTGTCCATGCGTGTGTGTGTGGTCGCATAAATTTACCGATATTTCGCCTGTGAGAGCGAAACGGGCGAAAAAAAAGAGACGAGAGGCGAACCAAACGAAGAAGAAGAAGAGGCGAAAAACAGCAGCAGTTTCGTTGAAATATTGGGCAAAAAACGCAAACGTAAGCGAAAAAAATAAAAACCAAATCCCTCTTCTATGCTTATACAGTAGATGTGTGCTTGTGCGTGTGTGTGTGTGTGTCTCGTCCCTCTGTGTTTGCGTGCATTTTAATACAATTTCGTGTGCATTTCCTTAACAGCCAACGAGAACAACAGAAAAGCTGGGCGAAAACAGGACGCACAAAAAAGAATTAAAATCAAAAGAAGAGAGGCGCAAAGCGGAGAGAGCAAAAAGAAGCAGAGACAACAACAACAACAACAAAAGCCGCCACAATGAGCAAACCACTCTTTGATCTTCCGTTGACCATTGACCCAGACAATGAGTTGCGTTTTGTGGGTAAGTCCATTCAGTTTACTTAACTCAATTAACTTTATATATTTTATAAGGGCGGCCGGGGAGGGGGAAGGTCGCTGCATATCGACCAAAAAAGCCAATTCACCTCCAATTTGTTGCAAAGAGCAAACTGCAAAGTTCGCTCTGTCTCTCTCGCGCTTACGCACACACCTCTCTCTGCGCTATACACCCATCTCTCTCTCTCACCCACTCTCTCCTTCTCGCTTATCAATAATATCCGTTGTTTTTGTTGTTATTTCACGTACGATTTTTGGACACCTCTTATTGTTCTTGTTTTTGTTGTTGGGGCTACGTGTTTCGTCTGCTCTTCTTCTTTCCGTTCGTTTTTTTTTTACTCCTCTTTTAGTAATTTTTTTTTATTTTTTTTGATGCCGGCAGCTGGCGTCGCTCTCTTTCTCACTTGCACTCGCCATTTCCCTCTCTCCCTCTCGCTCGTCCTGCGTTTTTGGCTAGCATTTTATTTTTACACGCAAAAACTTGTCATGGGCCATTTTAATTTTTTCTTGTCTTTTACTCTTTGAATTTTGGCCAAAAAGCAACAGCAGCAGCGGCAACAACAATGCAATATGACAGCGAAAAGCTCGCACAGTGGGCGCGGTGCACAGTTTCAATAGTAAAGCAAAGATTATTAAGATAATGTTTGTGTGGCGAAATTTTTTGATTTGTTTTGAAATATCTTCTAAAAATGAAAATAGGGGTTTTCAGTTATATTTTGTAATCTCATTAAAATATGAATATGTACTTTCAAAAGCTAACATTTCCCTCCAAATGAAATAAACAAATCACATGCTTTTCATCCCACTGTGCGCAAATATTTTAATATTTGTGTGTGCGCGCGTGTTTTTGTGTGTGTGTGAGCCTTAGCCCCATTCTTTTGCGCCACCCTCTCCCCACGTTTCCCGCTAGATCGCCAAGGGTGTGGGCGGCGGAGGGTGGAAAACACATGCATGACGCGACTTTGTCTAATGAAATTTCCTTGAAGCAACACACACTCACACTCTCACTCAAAAAAGCACACGCACACGCCATGTTAAAAAAACAAAAAAATCCGTGTTACTATTTCATTTGTTCTTTTTGCTTTTATTTTTTTGGCTCTACTTAAGACCGCTGTCCGAAATAACAAAACAAAAAAAAAATGTTCCCAAGACCCTACGATTTATTTGTAATTGTGCCCCAAAAGAATTTGTTACCCTGTAGATAAGAAAAAAGTCGTATGTATTGTTGATAATTTATAATCAAGTGATTCCTCATTCATATGTAGTACATATTATGTACAGTACAGTATGATAAAGATTTTTTTATTTTTAATTTTCACTACTAAAATACTTCATTTTATAGGGTACTCAAAATCCGACTCCCCGGCATGTTAGTCTATTTTTCGGCTTTTGTGTTGGTTTTCGATTTTGTTTTGCTTTTAATTCAATTAATTTGAACTTGCTTTGGCCATTGCACATTGGGGCTTAGCCTATCAGAACTTTAGCCAAAAATATTCAAAATGAAAAAATTTCAAAAAGTTAAAATACAATAAAATATTAAAAAAATAAATAAATATTGATTGAATTGCTAACTAATTCTTTGAAACTTTTTAAATAATTAAAAATCTTCCTTAGTAATAATAATTTGGGTAAATCCTGAAAAATACCTTCTTTGATCCAATAACTAAAATCTTTATAGAAGGTATTTGGAAACTGTTTATTCTGATATGTTTTTGACCCACTGTGCATGCAATGACGCAATGAGCGTGACGTGCCACAAAAATCAGGGAGAGTGGGGAAAAGCGGGAAAGTGAGAAAAGCACGGAAAGTGCGAAAGTGGGGTGGCCGGCTGGGTGGGGCAATCGTCAATAGAGTGTGACTAATCGGGTGCATCCAATCAAAAAGTGCGATAAGGCCTGCAGGCATTTATAAAAGTGCGATAATGCCGGTTTTATTTGTAGAAGATTGTGTAAAGCCAGGAAAGCACAGGGAAGAATTTTAATCGTTTTGACACCTATTTTTATAATCGGAATACAAATATTCTACTTACCCCGGAATAATATAGATAATCATCAATTTATTATTAATTTTTCCATCCATTATTCCAGGTCCCTTCAACCGACCCGTCGTCACAATCATGACTCTGCGCAACAATTCAAATCTGCCCCTGGTCTTCAAGATTAAAACAACCGCCCCGAAGCGCTACTGCGTACGTCCAAACATCGGCAAGATCCTGCCCTTTCGAACGACTCAGGTGGAGAGTGAGTATTACGGAAATATCATCTCCTAGCATCAGAGTTAATAATCGCCCTTGTTTGTAGTCTGCCTGCAGCCATTCATCTATGATCAGCAGGAGAAGAACAAGCACAAGTTCATGGTGCAGAGCGTGCTGGCACCCGTGGATGCTGATCTGACCGATTTGAATAAATTGGTAAGCCGAAATTATGTATTTTTACTTTCTATTAAGTCTTCAGTATAATATCGTTGGTAAAAGGATATGATGTTCCTAAAAATCTGTAAATTAGCATTACAAATAGGAAGATACTATTCCTATATCAGTATATCTGTTTGATACATCATGATTTTTGACGAAAAATTAAAAAAAAAATAAAATGTCCAGGTTTAAATGCCAATCGATTTTAAATTTAATAACGAGTTCAAAAAGGTATGACAAAGGTATCCATATTTAGAGCAATATTTTTTGTGAAAAATTGGGATTTTGTTTTTTGACAAAAACAGGAATTTTTTTGTTTCTTTTTTTGCTGTAACTTGGCTAAAAATGGTCTTACACCAAAAATACATACTGTTTTGAACAGATAACAAAATAATATTTATATCCATGATACTTTTCCTGTGATTTTGGAAAAATACAATTTTCGCCAATTTTCACATTTTTTATAAGGGGGTACATCATTATTTTTTACGAAAAATTACAAAAAAAAAGTGATGGTTTAAATGCCAATCGATTAGAAATTTAATAACGAGTTCAGAAGGATCATAATTGGATCAATATTTCCAGTGTTAGGGTCAAAGAACAAATTATTTTTTTTTTGTAAAAAATTGGGATCTGAGGTTTGGTAACAATTTGAATTTGATACATTTAATATTACAGTTTGCCGTAGTTCAAAATGTTCCATTCTAGCTCTAATAGTACAATCATAATTATAGTTTTATATAAGTTTAAATGTAAACATTTTCTAATGGCCTTTCTGTTATTCTTCTCCCGCAGTGGAAGGAACTGGAGCCGGAGCAGCTGATGGACGCCAAGCTGAAGTGCGTGTTCGAGATGCCCAGCGCCGAGGCGAATGCGGAGAACACTAGCGGCGGCGGAGCTAGCGGCGTCGGAAGCGGAAGTGCCGGAGGCGGAAGCGTGGGCGCCAACACTAGTTCAGCCAGCGCCGAGGCGCTCGAGAGCAAGCCGAAGCTCTCCAGCGAGGATAAGGTGAGTTTAGCCAGTATAATCGAAAATATATATCATATATATAATACAAATTCTTAAAATTTAGCCCTCGAGTTTGCCCGATACCGCAGAGCATGTGGAGTCGCTGGCCGGAGAGATCAAGGCGCTGCGTGAGACAAACAGCGAACTGCGAAAAGAAAATCTTCACTTGAAGGTAGGAACCTTATTACCAGTATCTTCCTGTTGACCTACTAAACTTATCTCTCCACCTTTTGCAGGATCAAATCACACGCTACCGCAGCTCGCCGGCCATCAAGCAGGTGAATGAGCCCTATGCCCCAGTTCTGGCTGAGAAGCAGATTCCGGTCTTTTACATTGCAATTGCCATTGCTGCGGCCATCTTAAGCCTCCTGCTGGGCAAATTCTTTCTCTGAATGCCATAAACGAACGCCAGCAACATGCTATATGCAACGTGCAGCAGCAGCAGCAGCAACAACAGCAAGAAAAGCGGCAACACCATCAAACAGCAACAGCAACAACAGCAGCAGCAGCAGCAACTAACAACAGCAACCACAACGAAAGAACAACCAGCAGCAGCAGCAGAAGCGAAGCATTCAAATCCACCATCGGCAAATGAAGCAAAAACCATAGAAAAGTAAAGCTGACAAAACTAAGAAAAAAAAAACAAAAAAATCAGAAAGAAAGAACAGCAGAGAAGGGAAAACCGTAGGAGGAAAGACGTAAAAATCGTATTTTCGCAAAAGGGGAAATCTCACAAGAAATATTCAACAAAAAAAAAAGATGCACGTCTACATGGTCCCATACGTATATTGCTCAGATTTTCGATTGCATTTTGATTCGCTACTATTAATTTTTAAGCATCTTACTTTAAAAAGCTTCACAACTCCTTTTTTTTTTATTCGTTTTTGATGCATTTGATAAACGGACAAAGTGAAGTACTTCAAAGAATAACCAAAATTATCATTAAATAGAACTTATCATACCTTTTCGGAGAGAATACAAAATATAAGAATACAAAATTGTTACTCAAGTGCGAGAATAAACTTCAGTTTTAATTACATTTTTTTATGGCTTGATTTTTTTTAATACCTATTTTTTTTGCAACCACAAAGACGACCTAGATGTAAAATTTAAATCGAAAAAAAAAGAAAAAACCTTGAGCAAAATGCAAAACAAACAAAAGTAAAAATGAAAAAAAAGAAACACTTGTATGGAAAACCAATCAATGAAAAAGCTTCAAAAAATAAAATGCTCTGCAAGGCCGACGCTCTCTAAAAGAAAAGTTGCTTCACCCCTCGTCCTATCTCTCTCTCTCTCCCACTGTCTGTCTGTCTGTCCCTCTCAAAGTCCTGACAAAGATATCGAACGCGAACGCGCGGGAACTATATATATAAATTGATATAGAATCATTATTGTTTTTGGTTGGCATTTGCATTTACTAAGTTTCGTTTTAGTCATTTCAGTGGTGGTTCCATTACTTCAGCCACACACACACATCACTCAATGATCGCTATATATATTATAACGAATATAATGAATTTCTATAAGCAAACCTTTATGTAATTTGTGTTGTTTGCCAAGGCCGAATTGAGAAAAAAATTCCCAAGCCTAATTAGCAGTCAAGTTGAGAAGATCCATAAATTATATCTGATTCTGATACGATATTTATGATCTGATAAGTGCAGCAAAATCAATCAACCTTGAAAAAGAAAAAGATAAAGAAAACATTTGACACGAAACTCACACGTATTGTTGATGGTTTACACTATACCCACGGATCCATAGTTATAGATCCATAGATCCATAGACCCACATCCACCATAGCCACTTGGTTCCTTCCGTACCGCCCTCTATTTACTCGCTTTCGACTTGTAAAAACCGAAATGCCGAATAACTAACTGGCGATGCAACTTGTTTCTCACACCACTATTATTTCCCCACATATTTTAATGAACTTGTTTGTGGTTACGACTTTTTTTATATAGTTTGCAAAGCATTGAAAAGAATATATATTCGCCGACATGCATGATCGCTGTATTTTCATAGGCATGTGGAAACTCGTATTTAAATGTTTAACTAGAAATACAGAAAACAAAAACCTACAAATAAAAATAAAAGAGAAAAAGCAAAAATAAATGATAAAGACAAGCAAATCATAAGCAAAATGTACTTGATGTCAGCTGTAGCAAAAAGAAAAACACAATATATATGAACATACACATAATAATAACAATAATAATAAAATGTGAAAAACGGAACTTAACATTCAACAATTGTTTCTGTTTCGATACATTTTGACAACATTCAATTGCATTATTTAATTGAAATCAACCAATATACACTCTACACACAGACCCAAAAGCAAAAGCCTCCTCGCAAAATAGCCGAATCGAAATAAAATCAAAGAAAGCAGGTAAAGATTAGGGAGATCTACTAAATCGAAATCGAGATGGGGCGATGCAGGAGGAGATCACAACACAGACACGAGGAAAACAATTATTATAATAATTACAGCATGAATCTTAAAAACTAAGTGTTTTTTTCTCAAAGGAAAAATAAAATGAAACATTGTTAATTAAACATCAAATATCATTTGAAATAAATTTAAATAAAACGAAAAAGAAACGCGATGGTTGGTTCTATAAATTCTATGGATAAAAATCAAAGTAAACCATTGAAAATTCAGTTTTTTTATATATATTTTGGTTTAATTCTTAAATTCTCTTTAGTTAAATTTTCTGATTTTTTCTTCTGCCTCTGCTTTCGTTTTCATTTCGTTTTTGTTTTTCTTTTTGTTTTATACAATTTTTACATATCTACAACATAAAACGTACGCGTTTGGAACAAATTGGGTTTGGGTTTACGCGGGGGGGGCTTGGGTGGATTGAGCCTTTCAGCTAGCCAAGGTACATAATATCGTATAAAGAACTCTAACGCTATCGCTATCTATCTCCATTGTCCGCGCAAGGAAGGCCAGCATGAAGTTAAAGTAATGATTCGTAATTAAAGTGCTGCTAGTTGTGGGCGTCCAGGCATCGCAGGATATCGCAAGGGGTTAGCCGGAGGTCGGCTCCTCCTCCTTGTTGTTGTTGCTGCTACTGCTGCTGCTGCCCATTATCCAGTCCATGAGCATCATCGACGGCGAACGCAATCCGGATTGAGCTGGTTTTGATATGGTTATGATTAGTCAAAAGTTGATTGTTATGTTAGGGCTATAACTCACAGAGATCCACGCCGATTGCTGCTGGTGCGGTTGTGGCTGCTGTGGCTGTTGCTCCTACAGATCCCGATCCCGATCCCGATCCTTGCTTGGCCATGTCCTTCTGCAGCTGGATCATCTGCTGGAGGCGCTGCTCCCGCTCGTCCACGATGGCCTTGTCCTTGGAATGCTTCACCGTTTGCAGCTCCGCCAGCCTGTGTGTGGAATTTATTGCTTTAGTATTTAATCTTTGGGTCACTGACTATGACCAACTACTCACTTCTGCTTGAGGTCACTGCCTGCTGCACTGGTCGTGGCGGCTCCCAGGATTTCGCTGCTGCTGCCGGCGCTGCTTGCTTTGCTGGGACTGCTCCCGGAGGCAGCGGATGAGGAGGCCGTGGCACAGGCTGCTAAATAAGGAAATATATAGAAATATAATAATAAAATCATCTCATTTCTTGAAGAAGCGTCAAATGTATCTTATTCGTCACCTTGAAAAAGCCCAAATTAAGCTTAAATGTAAATTCACAATTATAAAATAAAAATGTATCTAATTCGACATCTCAGACGAGCTGAAGGCCTTAGCTGCTAGAGCTCTTAATCTTAGTTAGCTTATAGCTTAAACTTTATATAAATAAATAAAAAAATAAATAAATAAATAAGTAAATAAATAAATAAATAAACAAATAAATAAGTAAATAAATAAATAAATAAATAAATAAATAAATAAATAAATAAATAAATAAATAAATAAATAAATAAATAAATAAATAAATAAATAAATAAATAAATAAATAAATAAATAAATAAATAAATAAATAAGTAAATAAATAAATAAATAAATAAATAAATAAATAAATAAGTAAATAATAAAAATAATCATTTAGTTTTGGGATAACCCTTACGTTCATCGCTGACTCCGCGACTTTTCTCCGTTTCCAGCTGGCGCAGCGTGTCCGATAGCTTCAGCTGCAGGTGGTCACGCTCCTCGAGCAGCTGCACCAGCTCGAGGATCATCTCCTCGACGCGCATGTCCCTCTGGTGGAGCATCATCAGGGCGTAGTCGAGATCCGCTTTGAGCACATACTCGGGCAGTGGTTCGTTGGTGGCCAAAGGCGGTGGTCCGCCGGCTGCTGCCTGATTGCCTCCCGATGATCCGCTGCGATTCTGCAGCCGGAAGGGATCGTATTGGGCGGCCAGGCGCGCATATTCCGCCGAACGAATGGCCAGCTGCTCCTTGAGCGTAACAATCTCCATTTCCTGCGTTTCCAAAGCCTTTTGCATTTTTAGCATCATTTCGTTGGTATCTCCAGGTTGTGGCAGCTGCTCCTGTGGCTTTTCTAACTGCTCCTGCTGTTGCCTGATCTCCTCCAGCTGCGCCTTGAAGGCAGCCTCTCGCTGGGCCAGATGCTCCTGCCAAATGGCGGCCACCTCGCCGCACTTTTGCTCCACCAGCTGTTCCCACTGCTGATTGATGGCCGCCAAATCGGGTTGCTGGCCAAGATTCTGGGTTTGCGTCTGCAGCAACTCCAGCGAGCGTCGCAGTTCGGTGATCTCAATGTTCTTCGTGTCCAGTTGGAGCAGCGTCTGCTTCATGCGATCCTCCAGCTCCAAGCTGCCGAGCACATGGTTGTTTAGCACTCGCAGCTCCTCCTCCATGTCGGATTTCTCCTGCTGCAACTGTTGGCATTGAGTTCGCAGAGAGTTCAGAGCTTCTTCATCATTGGATATTAAGGTAACTGGCTGGGGATCCACCTGGTGATCCTCCTTGTCCTCCTCCAGCTGCTTGACCTGCATGCGCAGCAGCTGCAGCTCCTGGTTCTTGGTGAGAATCTCGAAGACCAGCTTCTCGGTTTGGTCCTCGCGCATCAGCTCCTCGATGCGCTGCTTTAGGTGCACAATCTCGGCCTCCTTCTCCTGCAGCCGGGCCACCTGCTCGTCATCGATGTCCGCCGAAGGTTCGCGATCTTCTGCGGCTTCTTGCTGCGCTTTCAGGGCTCTTAGATTTTCCAGTTCAGGTTGAAGTTTCCGCAGCTCAATCACCTCCGTTTGCAGCAGATGCAGCTGCTCCGTCTGGATTTGATGTTCCTCTTGTAGTTTCTGCAACTCCAGCTGTTCCCGCTGAATCTTCTGACTGCTTAAATGCTCCTGTTCGGCCTGGAGACTCTTCAACTGAGCCACCTCAGTTTTCAGGGCCTGCAGCTCTAGCTGATCCACCTGATCCTCCTGATCCAACGGCCTGCGCTCCTCCGCCGCCCGCAGACGCTCCCTTAGATCCGCCAGCAGGCTATCATTATGCGACTGCATCTGGGCGGACATATCCGCGGCCATCTGGAGCAAGTGGCGCTCCTTCTTCAGCTTCTCCTGCAGCTCCTGGCACTCGGCATTCAGATCCTGGTTCTCCGCCTGCAGGTTCTCTATCCTCACTGCCTCATCGCCGCTTGGAGGAGCAGCAGAAGCAGCAGCAGGAGGAGTCGGCTCCTGATCCCACTGCTCCACTTGGCTGAGCTTCTCCTGCAGCTCACGGATGCGCGCCTGGTACATCTGCACTTCCAAGTCCTGGCGCTCCTTCAGCTCCGCCATGCGTTCGTTGCCCGCCGTTAGAACATCAATCCTCTTCGCTAGCTTCTCCTTTTCGAGGACGTGCTGCTGCGTCAGCTCCTCCGCCTTGGCCACGCGGGATTCGTTGAGCGAAAGCTGATGCTTCAGCTCCTCGATAATGGCCGTATCCAGATCATTGTCTACCGTAACTGTGGGCGTGGCGCTGGCCTTTGTTTTGTATTCCTTCAAACGCTTCATCAGCTTGGCCGCCTTGGTCTGCAGTTCGATCTTCTGCTGCTCCGCGGCACTCAGCTGGAGTTCCAATTGGGTGATTCTCGCATGGAGTGGTTCTACATCCGTTTGCGGTTCCTCTGTGGCTGCACTCGCCCAGGGATCCTCATCTACGCCAAAATCAATGGGCTGCTCTTGCTTGGGCTGGCATAAGTAGGCCTTTTTCGGCTGGATTAGAGGCTCCTCCACGGGCTCCGTTTGCGGCAGTCCCAAATCTAAATGTTGACTCACTGCATCCGGCACTGATTCCCCAAAGAACATGTCTAGTGTAGGAGCCACCGCCGCCGGTTGGATTAGCTTCTCTAGCGCCGCCAAGCGCTCACGCTCCTCGTTCGCCACCCTAATCTCGGCCAGCTGCTGATCGCGTTCCCTCAGCAGGCGCTCCAGTTCGCAGAGTCGCTGCTCCAGCTGCTGACGTCGCTCCTCCTGCTCCGCCAAGCCCTGATTCCTGGCCAGCAGCTTCGTCTCCAGATCCTGGGCATGCTTCTCCAGATCGGAGACATTCCGCTGCAGATCCTCTATAGTAGGAGGCGGTGTGGGAAGCGGAGGAGCGCTGGCCGAGAGCGAGGAAACCCTGAGAGGCTGGGCAATTTCATCAAAGGGCGAGGGAGCAGCCAAAGCATCGCCGCCAAAGAAGAGGGAGGCTGCCGCTGGTGGAGGATTAGATTGCCTGGCCAGCTGAGCCTGCAATTCGCTGAGCTGCTCCGCCAGCCGCTTGTTCTCCGTTTCGATGTACACCTGGTCGTCCGTTTGATTCTGGCCCAGCGTGTCCAGCTCGGCAATCTGCTGTTGGAGAGCCTGCAGCTCCTGGCTGTGATTGGCGCACAGCGAATCGATTTGCGAGCGCAGATTGTCCATTTCGGTCTTGTCCTGCATAACCTGCATGCGCAGCTCCTGCAGCTCCAGCACATCCTGCTCGGCACTGTCCTGCTGCAGTCGCAATAAGGTGACCTCGCGACTCAGCGTGGCCCTTTCGCGTTCCACCTCCTGCAACTCCTCGTTGAGACGCTGCAGTTCCTCCGATCGTTGACTGACCAACTCCTGGGAGCGCTCCACTTGCTGGACAAGATCTCTGGTCTCGGCAGCAGCCCGCTCCACATGACTATTAAGGTCACACTCCAGTTCATCGAGCTCCGTCGCCTTGGCGGCCAGCTTGGCATCGTAGACCTGCCGCTGGCGCTGCAGTTCCGCCTCCTTGGCGGCCAGCTGCTGGTGCAGATCGGCCAGCTCCTCCTGGCTGCGGCTGCTCAGCTGCTCCCGCTCCGCCTGGGCGTCGGCAGTTAGCTGGGCATTCTTGGCCATCAGGGATTCGTGTTCCGTTCGCAGGCGCAGCAATTGCTGTCGCGTTTCCTCTGCTTCGCTGGTGATCAACTGGATGTGGGCATTCTGAGCCAGTTCCCTCTGTTCCAACTCATTCAGGCGCTCCTGCAGCTGCTGATCCTGCTGGCGCTGCTGCTCCTCCTGTTCGCGTCGCTCCTGCAGCTGCTGCTCTAGGATTTGCGTGTGATCCTGCTCAGCCGCCTGTCGATTGGCCTGGCTGGCCACCTGCTCCTCGAGAGCAGCGCTTCGCGTCTGCAGCTCTGCGTTCTGCGCCTCCAGCGATTCGATGTACGAGGCATCCTCCTGCAGCTTGGCCTGAATGCCCTCGTGAATCGTCTCCAGGCGGCCGATGGTCAGCTCGAAGTTGGCCTTGTCGCTGGCATATTGCTGTGCTAGCAGGGAGTGCTGCTCCTGGGCGGCCGTCAGTTGGATGCGTAGATGCTCGGCCGCTTGCAGGGATTCCGCGTTCTGTAGGGGGAATAAACAGAAGGATTAATTATTTTTTTATTTATATAAAGCTAACTTACAGTGTAAAACTATGAGCTAACTGAGAAATTTTTAGAGCGCTAGCAACTAAGGCTTTCGGTTCGACTGTATATTTTATTGAGGGACAGTTTTCTTAAATGGTTTGTGCTAAATTAGTTATACGGAGGAAGGTTATGATTTTGTTGATAAACAGAAGAATTACTATCAAATTACAGTACGAATATATAATATAAAACAAGAGAGAACTATCTAATACCCGTCACTCGTCTAAAGGGAGGGCGAGGGAGATGAATATATAACATTTTGATTGAGCATAACTTTTTAATGAATGGTCCGCTTTGCATTTATACTTCTCGGAAATCTTTAAAGGAATCGTTAGTGGGCGATTGTGGGCGTGGCGCTCGGCTGAAATAAACTTGCGCTGCGTAGGAAGCCCAATAATATGTGTGGGAAATGTCAACCTTCTAGCTTTTGTAGTTTCCAAGATCTCAGCGTTCATATCAAGAATATATATACTTTATAAGGTTGGAAACGCTTCCTTCCAGCTGTTACATACTTTTGCACGAATACAACATACCCTTTTACTCTACGAGTAACATGTTTAACTAACCTTTTGGCTTTCCAGTTGCTCCAGGGAGCTCTTGACAATGCTGCCCTCGCCTTGGCCCTCCAGCTGGGCCATCTGCTCGTCCTTCTCCTTCTCCAACTGCTGCACCTCTCGCTGCAGCGCCTGAATGGTGGCATTGCGATGCTTGATCAGCTCCTTGGACTTTTCAAACTTCTTCGACTTGGCCTCCAGTTGACGGCGCAGATCATCGACAGCCGCTGGCTCCTCTTTTAGCTTCTGTTCGAGGTGGGCGATCTCCTCGCGCAGCCTGGCCATCTGCTGGCCCTGCTGGAAGACCTCCTGCTCGGCCTCCTGGCGCTCGCGTCGCAGCTCCTTGCTCACCAGACTGGCCTCCTGGAGTTCCGCATCGCGCTGCTCGATCAGTTGCTCCTGCTCCTGGACTTGCTGCTTCAGTTGACGCAGCGCATCGCGGTTCTCTAGGTTGACATGAATTTTGGCCTTGAGATCCTCGTTCAGTTTGCCAATCTGTTGCTGCAGATGCTCTATTTGTTGGGTGTCCACTTGGGGTTCAGGTTGCAGCTGCTCCTCCCTCAGCTTGCTAAGCTCCTCCTGGCATTCCTGAACCTTCTGCTCCAGCTCCGCATTGTGCTGCGTTCGCTTCTTGAGGTTTAAGGCATACTTCTTGAGCTTCTCGCGCAGCTCGACTGTTTTTAACTGCTCCTCTTGGCGCGCCTGCTCGACGCCCTGGTACAATTCCTGGATCTGCTGGTTCAGGGCATCGATAGTCTCCTGGCTGGAGGCCAGTTCACTCACCTGCTGGGCAGCCAGACTCTTGCTAACGCGCAGCGCCTCCCTCAGCTGCTCGGGATCATCCTGCTGGGCCCGCAGCTCCCGCAGCTCGCGCAGCTCCTCCTGGGCGGACTGCAGTTCCAGCATCTTGAGGTTCAGATTGTGCTCGTTCTCGCTGAGGTTTTCGATCAACTGCTGCTTCTGCTCGGCCACCAGGGCCTGCAGAATGCTCAGTTCACCCTCGAGGGATTCACCACGTGCCTCCAGCTCTCGCCGTATCCTCGTCTGCTGCTCCAGCTGCTTCTCATGGCCCATTTCCTTCGCGTTAAGCTGCTGATCAAAGTGCTCCGCCTGCAGCTGCAGCTGTGCGATCTCCGCCCTCTGATCCGCTTCGATTTGACGCAGTTCATCGATCTGCTGGCGCTGCTCCTCAATCTGCTGAAGTTGCTCCGCCTGCGAGGATTGCAGCTGCCGGAACTCCGCTTCCCTTTGGGCTTCGGACTCGGAACCAACTATACTTAATGGTGTTTCCATTTCATCCAACTCCTGACGCAGACGCGAGATCACCGCCTTGAGTTCGGCATTCTGGGCGTTCAACTGCTCGTATTCCGCGAGAGCTTTGCCATTGGGAGCGGTCACAGCGACCACGGTCTCCACCACAGTCACCGTTTCCACCGCCGTGCTGGCCTCCTTGACCTTGTGCAGCAGCTCGCTCAACTGGGCGTGGCAGTTCTTGGCCTCCCTGGCCAGTTTCTTGGACACATTGAACTTGGCCTGCCGATCGTTGGCCTTGCGATAGGCCTCCAGTTCCGAGTTGAGTTTGCTCAGCGACTTCTCGCACTTCTCAAAGAGCAGGGGTCCGCCTTCGCCGGCATCTAAAGTGGCCACCACCTCGGAGGAACGCTGCATGGAGCTCAGTTCCTGCGAGAGATTCGACGAGGTCGAGGTGGAGGAGAGCAGATCCTTTTCCCGCTCACGCTGCAGCAACTGCAGCGAGCTGGAACTCTCCTCCAGTCGCGCCTGCAGCTGCAGATTCTCTGCCGACAGCTGCTCCAGCTTGTCCAGCACTTCGCCGCGTTCCTGGGTGAATAATTCCAAGCGTTCCCTCAGCTGCGAGAGGCTCTCTTCCTGCGCGGCATCCTCCGTTTGCGTGAGTTCGCTCACGTGACTGGGCATCGCTGGAGGATCTGCCGCCTCGCTGGCCGGTCGCTCCACTATCTCAATTGATTCCGCCGAACTGGACGAGCTGAGCTTCTCCAGCTTGTCCAGCAGCTCCATGTTCTCGTTGATGTAGTGCGTCAGCTTCTTGTCCAGCGTCGCCTTTTCGCTTTGCAGGTTGCTTAGTTGCTCACGCTGCTCGTGGGCCTCCTGCTCGAGTTGCTGGACGCGCTGGGTGAGCTGCTCCTCCATTTGGGCCTCGCTTAGCTCGGATTCGACGCGCGCAGACTCCAAAGCCTGCTGCAATTCCTGCTTCTGCTGCTCGAGCAGGCTAACCTGCTGATCCTCCTCCTGCGATCTCTGCATGCTGGCCAACTGCCATTGGCCCTTTTCGTCCTCCAGCATCGTGATCCTCTGCTGCAGCTCCTCCAACTGCTCCTGCTGCTGCTGGCCATCCTGAGTCTGCAGCTTTTGCAGCTGCTTCTCCGCCTGCTTGCACTTGAGCTTCAGCTTGATGTTGGCCTTGTTCGATTCGTCCAGCTTCTGCTTCAGCTGCTGCAGTTCTCCGTCCTCCGGCTGGTCGTCGAGGAACAGGGGCTTGCTGCGACTGCTCTGGGCCAGCTTCTCCTCCAGCAGACGCAGATTCACATTGAGCACATTGAGTTCGGTGGTCTTCTCGGCGATCTCCTCGCTTTGGCCAGCCAACTGCGATTTTTGATCCTCTAGCTGAGCAGTTTGCTCGGATATGGTGGCCTCCAGTTCGGCAAGACGCTGCGAGACGCTCTCATCGCTCACTGGGAGCTTCTTTTGGGCGGCCACCTGGCATCGCAGCTCCTCGTTGGCGGCCTGCAGTTCGGCCAGCTGATTGGTGAGCTCCTGCAGCTGCTTGGCCAGCTCCACGCTCACCTGGGCATCCGTGGACGCCGCCTCCGCTGGGGGACTGTCCTGCTCCCTTTGCCTTTCCCTTTCGCGTGCCGTGGTCAGCTCCTCCTGCAGCTCACAGCGCGTCGTCTCTAGCAGATCGTTGATGTTCTCCAGCTCTGCCAGTCGTTCTCTTAGCACTAAAACCTCTCCCTGGAGACGCGCTTGCTCCTGCTCCTGCAGCTCCTCCTTTTCCCCGCCCAGTCGCAATTGCTCCAGCTCCTCGTTGCGCTGCGTCAGCGAGCGCTGCAATTCGGCGCCGGATAGCTCCAGTTGCTCGATGAGATGGCCCCGCTTGGCCAGTTCGGTGCGCAGCTCCTGCAGCTCCTGCTCCTGACGGCCCGACTTGAGTTCCGTGAGCTTCATGCGATTCCGCAGCAGCTTCAGGCGGCTCTCGTCCAGCGGCTCCTGGCCCTGCGACTCCAAATCCAAGGCGGAACGGTGACGGGAGACCGGGGGATTGGAGGCGGCGGACGTCGCCTGCCGCAGATCCGTCATGGAAGAGCCCAGCTCGCCGCCGCCGCCGGCGCTGCTGGTGGTGGTGGTTCTATTCGACTTGACCGAGAGCAGCGACTTGGCCAGATCCCTCTTTCGCTGCTCCAGCAAAGCGCGATTCTGTTCGGTGCGCTGGGTGAGCATCAGTAGCTTCTCGCTGCCGCTGGTCTGCAGCAGCGACGCATCGCTATCCTTGGTGGGCGTGGCCAGCGGAGTGGAGGCGTCGCCGGAACGCGTCTTCAGCACGGTGAGCTTCTGGCCCAGCGTCTTCAGCGACTCCATGGAGTCACTCATGCTGGACTGGCGTCGCCCATCCTGCGATTTCCTCAAGGCACGTTCCTTCAAGGCAGTTAGGCGTTCCTAAAAGGGAGGTATTATGGTTTAAATAGGGGTTTCAATGGAGCTTTGGCTTCCTAAGCTCACCTGCTGCTTGTACAGATTCTCTTTAAGGCTGTCCAAACGGCCCTTGCCCTCGGTGCCTCTCGTTGTGCTGGCGGATTCATTCTGAAAGACGGTTAATATTGATTATTCGGTCCACTCTCAACCGCTCAAGGTCCTTACATTTGGCCCTGACATCGGGAATTGTTAAAATTTATTATTATAAATTATACCGAGTTACGAAATACTTTGACAATACGAAAAAACTGGTGAACTACCTATTGAGTTTTTTGAGTGATTAGTTTTAGCCACCTATACAGATTTTTATAGTCACATTAAGATCCTTATTTATGTATTTATACCTTTTCTATATATATATTTGATTTCTTTTGTGATAGAGTCCTTATAACTTCTTGTAAATATCCCCCTATTTATGTATTTATACCTTTTCTATATATTTATTTGATTTCTTTTGTGATAGAAGGCATTTATTCTGGATTTTTTATTAATTTAAGACTTTACACTGATCCTAACTATAAGAACTAGGTGTTTTCTCTAGTAATTCAAGAAAATCAAGATACAATGGAAGTTGAAATACTGATATAAGACGTTTATCCTGATCTTAACCATGAGATATAACTCTTTCTTCCACTTATCCTGGGTTTTATTCTAGATTTTTCTATTAAATTAAGATTTTACACTGAGCCTAACTATAAGAACTAGTAATTCAAGATACAATGGAAGTTAAAATACTGATATAAGACATTTATCCTGATCCTAACCATGAGATATACACTTTTCTTCACTTATCCTGGGTTTTATTCTAGATTTTCTATTAAATTAAGACTTTCAACCGATCCTAACTATAAGAACTAGGCGTTTTCTCAGGTAATTTAAGGAAATAAAGTTGAAATACTGATATAAGACGTTTATCCTGATCCTAACCATAAGATATAACTAGTTATATCGCAGTTATCCTGGGTTTCAGCCGGATTTACTCACCTGTAACAAGGACAGATCGTTGGAGCTGCCCGTCAAGCGTAAATCCGCCTCGCCATATTCGTGATTATCGGGCTGCATATATATAAAATAGATATAATTTAGATATAACACCACCTCTATAAGGAGAAGCAAGTAAAAACCCACCTGAACGATGGAGAAATCGTAGGAACTCTCCAAAGAAGCCGAATCCTCCGCCATCGTCGTTTCAATTACAAAATATAACTAGCCTAGTTATTTTTTAAGGAGGGCAAAACAAACAATCCAGAAAAAAAAAAACAAAACAAAAAAGACGGGAGAAGGAAAAACAAATCGGGGGGAATCGGGAATATATATGCGGACTGGCTATCTGAAGGACCGATTATATATCCACGGTGGCTGCGCAGCGCTAGCTATCGACATTGACTGCAACGAGAGAGGGTTTACCATGTAGCTGGCATATATATCTTCCGCTTCCGATCGGATCGGTTTATGCGATTTAGCCTAAAACTAAAGCTTTGGCTTTCTTGTTGTTTTTTTTATGGAATTCGTGGCACTGACGTGTGCACCTCTTTGCATGTGTGCGTGTGTGTGTGTGTGTTCCTATGTGTGCGTGTTTTGTTTGCTGTTATTTCGCCCGTTTTTGCCAATTTTCCAGTTGGTTTTTGAGTTTGTTATCACTGGAAACTCGCTTGCAACGGCAGAACTTCAATATAATCACGCTGGCAAACGTATATTTACCAATTCTAATTAATGCCAGCGTAAAAACAATGCAAAACCAGGGCTGCGCAACAACTGAACTGGGTCATTCGGCAGCCCTGGAAAGCTATCGAGTGTCGGATGGGCGATAGCAATCGCACCTGGTTATCGATTTATGGATTCAAATAATTTAAATTTAAATGTAATTTAATTAAATTTATTTGTTAATTTATTTATTAGTTGTTTTTTTACTTACTATTAAAAACACGCGTTTAAAAAATGCAACCCTTTCGATAACAGTTATATTTATTTTTTATATACTCAAATTAAATTTAAAGGGACATTATTTGTAATTAAACAATAATGCAAACTGTGCTCAACGTTCTATATTTTTATTTACACACTTTTGATGTTCAATTATATACTTTTTAAGTTACTTTTGGCGTTTTTGGGAATTTAAACAATGCTTTTTTAATTTATAATATTGCATTTAATTTATACATAAATTAAGACGGCTAAAACAAAGGGTCAAGTTAGGGATAACAACTTTCGACTACGTTAGGTTAAATATACAAAATACATAATAAGGAACCATTAGACTAGATGCGACACTTAAGTACAGAAAATCGAGACTCGCGGTGTCACAAAAGCCTCTCTACTTCTAAAATCTGGTTTAAAAAAAAATCCATTTGTTTGAGATGACAATTTGAGTTGTGATGCAAAAGAGATTTCCAGGGTTACTCGGACTTTTTCAGGACCTCTATAACCTGCGCATGGCCACCGCGCTCCGCGTAATCCAAGGCACTGAGACCCAGCATGTCCTTCTCGTTGGGATTCTCGAAATAGGGCAGCACATATTGCACCACCTCCGGATAGCCGTGCAGCGCAGCCACATGCAAGGCGGTCCTGCCCGAGGGATCCGCCTGGGCGAGATCGGCACCGGCATATTGATAGGACCTCAATCGGACCATCGAACCGCGAGCCGCTGCCGCACACAGTTGCTCGCCCACCGCTCGCGAGGAACCCGTCAAATGGGCGCCACAATTGATGAGCAGCTGGATGATCTCGTGACTGTCGGTGGACACGGCCTCCAGCAGCGGCGTGCGATCGTAGCGATCCCTCACGTGCACGGACACTCCGTTCTGCAGAAGGTACTTCACAATCTCCACGTTGCCCAGCTGACAGGCCAAATGCAAAGCCGTCCGCTGGTCATGATTCGTTCCAGACAAATCTGCGCCATAGGCCTTCAAATTGTTGATCTTCTTTGGGTCGCCCTCGGCCACAGCGGCATTTATCATGGCGGGAAATAGGGTTTCGCCCAGCTGATCCAGTTCTTGGGGCGACGATAGATGCAGCGATCTGGCCACCGCATCCACCAGGTCGTAGTCCTCCATCTTGGGAGCCTTCACGGAGGTCAGTTCTCCTCTCAAATTTGACTGCATCATCTGGGGAGGGGAAGAAAATTAATTTCTATTTTACTTTCAGGTCAAATTAAAATTAATTTCTATTTATTTACAGATCACGAATTAAAATTTGACTACAATAGCAACATGAATTAATAAACTAAATAATATTTAGTTATGAGTTTTATTTAAAAAATCACACTTTAACAGTTATCCTTTGATTTGTAAAGTAAAACTCAAAGAATAATCGTTAAATTTTGAGTTTTTAATAAAAATTGACAAATAACAGTTATTCGTCGTGATCAAAAATAAAACTTAAACTTAATTTATGGCGATTCTGTGGGTAAAATAAATTTAAAAGAAATATATTTATACAATATATGCGGTTGGCTTTTAAGATTTTTCGTAAGTTATATAAAACACGGTTAGCCAGGTTTTTTTTTAATTATTTCCTTTTTTCAAAAATGTCAAGGGAATAACTGTTGCACATAAAAATCAAAAATTACAAGTTTTTTTTGAGTTTTATTCTAAAAATAAAAAAATAGAAATCATTACAATGGCTAACAAAAATAGTGGTGTATTTAAAAAAATTTTAGGACTCTTCTACGCATGATATGAAATCTATTTTCGGTCCCTGCAAATTATAGACCCAACTCACCTGCTTCTTGACCTCCAGCGACCACTCCTCCTTGCCGATCACATAGGCCAGCTTCGAGAGCGCCGCCTCGGGCGTCATATCGTAGCCGGGAATCACGCCCACATCGCAGAGCACCTTGCCCGTATCATAGATCTCGGCCACAGTTCCATTCGGGCACTGCGTACAATTGATGATAATCACTCCCCTTTCGGCGGCCCCGCGCAGTTCATCGATCAGATCCGTTCGGTTCGATGGGATATTTCCAGATCCGAAGGACTGCAGGACCACTCCGCGTATCGGTGGCGCCAGGAATGCCCGAAATGTGGAGTGCGAAATGCTCGGGAAGATGCGCAGCAGGCCGACATTCTCATCGAGATTTAGGTGCACGCAAAACCTTTCAATACTGCACGGCCGGAAGATCAGCCGGTAGTCCACGTTCACATCGATGCCGATCCTCGCCAGCGGTGGAACATTCGGCGAATCGAAGGCATCCAGGGCATTCGAACTGACCTTCACCGTTCGATTGCCGCGCATCAACTTGTGGCCGAAAAAGACGCAAACCTCGGGAATTATATAGTTGCCGGCGATAATCAGCGCTGAGGTGAAATTGTCCTTGCCGTCGGTCCGCGTCTCGAAAATCGGGATTTGGGAGCCCGTGATGATCACCGTCTTGCCCAGATTCTCCAGCATGAAGGATAATGCCGAGGCTGTGTAGGAGAGTGTGTCGGTGCCGTGGAGAACCACAAAACCATCGAAGAACTCGTAGGATTGCTGAAAAAATAAAATATTAATATAAAATGCAAGCAACTTTTTTTCACGGGTTGAACCTAAAACCCAAACTGTATGTGCTAGGACCGCCAAATTTATACATAAGCTAACCCTTACTATTCTTATTAACACTATTATCTGTTTTTATTAATTTTTAAAAACAACATTTAAATAGAATACCTGTATATCGCTGGCTATCCGGGCCCAATCGTTCATCGTCATATTGCTGCTGTCCAGCAGCGGTGTGTATTCTGTGATCTGGTAGATAATCCTACGATCCACGCCCTGGACGAAGGGCAGAACTAGTGGAGCCATCGATGCAGACGCTCCAAAGCGACGCAGGGCGTACTCCTCGTCGTGAATGTTGGGATATTTGCGAATACTGCGCACAAGGGCATTGGGAATGGGAGCCAGCACTAAAATGGTTAAAATATATTATTAGAAATACATAATTTAAGGATTTAAACTTATTAACCAATTTCCAGAGATATTTTTAAGAGATGTTATATTTAAAGTAAATTTAAAATTCTAATATACAATTTTTGTAAGGCTATACTACGTGCCATTTTCAAGGACTTTGGTAAGGACATGCGTCGTTCAGCTATTTCATTAAGTTTTTTACGAGATAAAACGTGCGTCATTTTTATGACCTTATGACTTCTTATCATCTTAAGGAATTTAATTAAAATCGCACAAAGCAACAACATGTTTTCTTAAAATTCAGTTGTTTTCCTTGAAAATATAATCTATCCTAAACAAATATTTATTTTCTATATAATAATATTTGTTTCCCTAATTTAAAGTTCATTTTTTTTAAGTATTACAAAAATTATGCACGCTTTGCTTGTCAATCAAGATTATTATTAACAAAACCTACGTAATCTCAAATTAGTCCTAATCAGTCAGTGTGAAAATAATTGATTTTCATGCTTTCGGAACCCTGATAAGAATACGTAATAGTCAACAAATAAATAATACAAGTCAATATTTACGAGCATCAAACAAGCGCCAATCTGTTGACTATATCTTGTTTTTAATGAGTGCCCACTTGTAAATACAACCTGTAAATGGGATGGGAAATATCTAGGGGTGATATTTAATCAAGTTCTTATAAACCTGGTTATTTTATAACTTATCTGCCTGCGAATATGGACTGTCATTCTCTATTCAATCAAACTATTCTTTAGGTGCATTGCAAAAATGATGTATCATTTATCTTATCTACGTATATTTTTGGGACTCTCCTTGGTTATAAAAATACAATATATCATAAGATATGATATCTAGTTAGATGGGGGTTTCCGGACTACCTTATTATTAAGTTTTAATTTTTTGAATATAGGTTAGATATTAATGTCTCAAGTGAGTAACACTTTACAATGCATTTATTAAAAAAAATACAAACAAATTTATAATGAGTGTTTAAGTTTTGGTATAATGATTTACAGGGCTATTAATAATAATACATATTTTAAAAGCTATTTTATTTTAAGTAAAAGTACTTAAGGGAATCCCTATATATTTATTATTATTATATTATTTATTATTATTTCTTTATTTTGCATCCTAGCACTATTTATTATGGGGGTTTACCATTCCGTTCGTTGCGCACCATTCCGATGGTTCCGCCCGTATAAATGACTTTCACCCGGGCCTCCTTGACATCCTGGGCCATCAGCTTGCCGTCACTCTTGTTCCTGCGGATCGTGGGACTCGGCAGAGTGGGTGATGCCGGGGGCATACTCTTGTCCAGCGAAGTTAGCCTCTCGTGACCGTTGGTCTTTAGGACGGGAATGTCCACTCCGTTCGCTGGCATGGCTGAATGTATAATAACTACGGAATATGGAACACGGACTACGGAGCACCGGTGGCGTTATCACTAGTTTTCTAGGTGGTTGCGGTTTCGGGGCGTAAACAGAAAATCCATTAACAACCCGTGCCTTTGATTTTTATTTGGGCAACTCGTTATCGGCTAATCCGGATCCCCAATACTTTAATAATAATTCGCGGGGGTGCGACGACAATACGGCACGTGGTTTCGGGGCTCTTTCTAAAACAAAAAAGGAAATTGAAACGGAAAGTCCAAATCACGACGGCGCAATCATTTATTTAGATAACCGCACAAGACTTTGGCCCACGACGTACATGACTAATCTAATGAAATTCAAATGAAATTCCGCTGATAGCTATATTTTGACCATAAATAAAGACGCAATCAGCTGGGCGACTATCGATAGACGAGTTCGTTCAAAATTAAACGGCTATTTTTATTCAAATTTGAGGAGTGCTTCTTATATGGTTTCACTTTTTACTTTAACACAATAAATATTAGCTATTTTTTTGCATTCCCACACTTTTCTATATATAGACTAAACTCTCTGTTTTCTCTATTGATTTGTTTACACTTTTCTAAGGTTTTTCTAACGATGCGGCAATGCTGCAGTGGGCGTTGCCAGATCAACGCATATCGATACATGGAAAAAGCTAGAAATAAAAGCTAACTTATGCTTAATAAATAAATAAAGGCTAAAATTATCTTCAATTACTTACTGATTATAGGACTTATAATTTTACTTTTTTTTTAAGAATTCAACGAGGTGTAACATACCATTTATGAAAAATTTATTGCAACGCTTTAAACCATTTTTTTTGATACAACCTTCATTACATTAAATTAATATTGTCAATAATGTTTGAAACAAATAATATGTTCTATAATATTATTTGTACTATTACTTTTGTTACTTATTTTATGACATCACCAAAAAAAAAGCTAGAACTTCCGAATCCCGCAGTCTGGCAGCCCGAAAGCTTTCTGGCAGCTCCCTGGCCCCGTTATGTTGGCGGTAAAAGTAAAACGTAAATTAGTTTTGTTTAGATTTTGTGGTGAAATATTGGTTTAATGAAATTAAAAATGGAATACATTTGGATAAAGACTCTGTGAAGACTACAGTTCGTTGTGGGCGTGGCTGGCGGGCAAGTGAGGCTGCAAATCGCGCCAAAAATCGGCCCGCTGTTGCATCAACTCACTTTCCAGTCGGAAAATGGATGCGGAATCCTCGACTTTGGTGCCCAGGCGGGCATATTCCACTGGATAACTGGACGCTGGACTCCAGTTGGGCAACTGGAAGCTGGCATTCCTGGGATTTGGATTGCTAAAAGTAGGAAATGTCATAAGTTTCGGCGTTATAAACAGGTATTATTAATATAATGTAGAACCTACCCGCTTTCCGCAAAGCTAACCCACAAATGGAGCATCAATTCGCGGAGTTCCAGATCCTTTCGTGTCGGAACAGCACTAACAAAGAGCTCCCGACCAATGGGGAACAAATACTGGAGCTCCTCGGCATGACACGCCCCGTAGAACTCATTGCGGCCGCCCTTGAAGATCTCCGTAAAACTGGCGGCGCCCTTGTGATCAAACAGATAGACATATGTGGGTCCCACGCCCTCCTGGGACATCCGGAGTCGCAGATACTCATCGATTCCGGCCACAAACCAACCATCCGAAATCAGCTGAAATTTTAGCGAAATTATCATTATCATTATTATCATTATTAGCATTTTTATCATTATTATCATTTTTATCATTATTATCATTATTATCATTATTATTATTATTATCATTATTATCATTATTATCATTATTATCATTATTATCATTATTATCATTATTATCAATATTATCATTATTATCATTATTATCATTATTATCATTATTATCATTATTATCATTATTATCATTTTTATCATTATTATCATTATTATCATTATCATTATTATCATTATTATCATTATTATCATTATTATCATTATTATCACTATTTTTATAGATCGGTCACTTACATCGGTCAGATTCTGGTGATTGGCCTTATCGTAATCATGTCCAGCCTTGAAGTAGAAGCTCTCGATGCGCTGCGTAATCCGCTGCTGAACGGAATCCTCGTGGTGATCGTAGTTCAGGACGACCGGCAGGACCTGGCCAAACTGGGACTTGAACTCGGCCAGCAGCTGGGGAAGATTGAGCAGGGCGGCCGTTTTCAAGAGTCCCTCCTCGGCGGTGGCGCCCACCAGGAGCGGCAGTTCCAATCCATGCGGCTTCAGCGCCTGGCGAGGTGGCACTGTGAGGAAGGCGTCCTCGTGCTCCGGTTCGATGACTGGCGGGAAAGGAATCATGGGATCAAAGTCCCAGACCTGCAAACAAAAAATATAGAAGCCCATGGTTATTTCTCGGCTTTCCTTTCACCTCATTTGTTTGATAACACCTTAAATAGTTGCATTGTACTCTCTCTTGGCCAATATTTCGGTTTTTGGCACAAATGTCTTGGATTTGACACACATTATAACAAAGTATTTTAAATAATCGTTGAATTATGGTGTCTTCTGTTAGCTTTCAAATTCATATTCAAATTGGTTATGATAGGTATAACGTAAAATGGTTATTGAGGTAACGTTTTGTTTTCAATATCTCAAATTCGACACTGAAATTAAATTTAAAAATTATATCCTAATCGTTCCTTATTTTAAGGGTTTAACCTTCTAGATTTTAAAATACCGCTATACTTAAATCTTTAATTTTAGTATTTTTTAGGTCTTTTTCATCTGCAACTTTCCACTTGTTTTGAAATTAAAAAAAATGAATTTTAAACATTTTATATACTTGGTTTAACTTTAAAAACTAATTTATTAACAATCTTTTTATCTATAGATTAGATTTTTGAGGAGGCTTTTGTTTTGAATATTATTAATTTGACACATTTGACACAGGAAAAGAAAAAAATAATCAAAATCCCTCTAAACTTAGTAATCTATCAATTATTTGTAATTTTCCAACTATTTTGAACTATTTAATTTTCTAAATATTTGTTAATCCCTTTGCAGATAAAAACCCATCATAGTAAATTACTGATAGAAAGGAGAACTTACAAACATGTCGTACAAGGAGGCCACGATGTCCTCGGCTGGCCTCTGGCGCAGGCACTCCAGCTTCTCGGGCCATTCGCCGGCGGATCCGCAGCCCACCAGCTCGGCCAACTTGGTGGCCCTGCCAGCGGCTACTCCTTTGTGGGCAGGCTGCGCCCAGGGATTAAAGTAAGTGCCCGATTGGGCAATGCCCCGGTGCAGCAGACCGCGCGACTTCTCCGAGAGCATGTGATAGGTGACACTGGCGCCGCCGGCGCTCTCGCCAAAGACCGTAACACTGTTGGGATCGCCGCCAAAGGATGCGATATTCGTGCGAACCCAGCGCAGAACCTCCAGTTGGTCCTTCAAGCCATTGTTGCCGGGACAATCGACCGTCTCCGTGCTGAGGAAGCCCAGCGGTCCCAATCGGAAGTTGGCCGAGATCAAGACGATGTCGTGATCGAGCAGAAAGTCCGGACCGTAGAAGCTGCTGATCCCGGAGCCACACTGCCAGCCGCCGCCATGGAACCAAACCATGACGGGCAAACTGCCATTCCTCTTGGGCACCTCCGGCGTGTAGACATTCAGATACAGACAGTCCTCCGAGCCCTCGATGATCATGTCGCGTCGGAAAGGATCGCGCTGCAGGCAGATGGGTGCATCCTTCACGGCCAAACGTTCGCCTTCCCAGGCGGCCTTCGCGACCGGCGGACGGAAGCGCAGATCGCCGAGCGGTGGCTCTGCATATGGAACACCCATAAAGGCGCGCATATGCCGACCATTGTGGGTGGTCAGGTGGCGGCCAATCAACCAGCCGCCGTGGGACAAACGCACATGCAAACTCTGCGAATTGCGTCCATCGCTCCAGTGAACGTATGTGGTGCACAGCAGCAGAATCACCCGAATCGACCAGAGGCCAGCGTTTCTTGTCATCGTGTATTCCCGCGCTTGAAGTCCGATCTCAGACTGATTTCGCGGCGGCACAGTGCGCGTAGTTTTAAGATTACAACATCATATGGCCAGCTTCCGAAGCGAACTTGTTTGCCGAATTTTTTTAGCCGCCCGTCTCTTAGCTCATTAATTCTGCTTATTTTTCATACCCTCAACGGAGCATTTTAAATATGATAAGCAGTTCGAAAGCTATATGTACAGTGAACACTTTCGTTTAAATATCTGTGAGTATGTTATAAAATCAAAGATGGCTATTTGATTTGTATCAGAAATATATTTGTATAAGTTTAATCAATTTTTTGAGCTATATGTAATAATCATAATTATTGTTCTGGTATTTATTTTATATATTTTAATGATAAAAATATTATTTAAATTATAGAGCACCATATTACACCTGGAAGGGTATGCAAATGCCAAGGTGCACGCATCGAAATGTTTTTTGCCACTTAGCGGCGTAATCAGCATCAACATCGCCATCAGCACAACATCAAGCATCGACATCAATTTCTGATGTTTAAGTTTCGTTTTGGAACACTGCGCAAATTTGGTCAAATCAAGCCGAAAACCGTGGTTTGGGGTGTGTCATTAAGACAATTATGCACCGATTTTTTAATGGATTATCGCATATTTATTACCTGCGGGTGAAGAGATCACCCAGCTGATAGTTTTATGGTTCAGTAATTTAATTCGATTATTAATACTGTTTATTTTTCAGGTTGGTGACCCCTATTTTATTGATGGATGTGAAGATTTATTTGCTATAATGCATAGAAACCTAATGAAATTGGGACGCAAAAATGTAACTCTTTAAAAAGTAATGGAACATGTAAGTGCATATTTATAAAATTATTATCTTTGGAAATTTCCATTTTAAGTTAAGACCTTTTTTGTTGGCAATTACTATTTTTTTCTGCCTTGTCACATTTTAGTGATTAATGTTTTTATAAATTTTATATATGTTTCTTAATTCATCTGATCCCACTGTTTGCATCTTAATGATTTAATTTGGCCAACGTTGGTCTGTCAATGACAAGGCACATTAAGTGGGGAACACGAGAACGATACCACAACTATAATAAATTAATGGTATTTTTGAGCAGATGCAGATAACATTCCCCCAGTTTGGCATGGTGTTATAACGATCCTATAATTGGCCTTGGAACGGTTAAATAGAATCTGTAGGCACTCGGAAAAAAATAAGAATATATTTTTTAAATTTTATATTACAAGATTTTACTTTTAAACTAAGATCAGCCATGATTTTTTTGAGTGCAGAAAAACCCTATGGAGCGGTATCATCGCCGATTAGGTAATATGCTAATCTAAATTTTTACGAATTCATCTGAGCATATTCATAAGCCTGAGAAATATTTGACGGTAAGCCGAGCCCACCGAATGTTAAATGTAAAAAAAAAGAAATCAAAACAAAACCCGAAACTTGAAAGTTGTTAAAACAGAATAAAAATGCGGCGGGAGATGAACTGACCCGAGATGAAATGCGATGTGAGATGAAGAAGCGCACTTCAAAAATGCCTTTGCATGCCGAAAAATGCCGTCGAGCTAATAGGGCCCTTTGAAGTTACCACGGAGAGTTGGGCTGTGCTGATGAGGTAAAAAATTACAGAATTACAGAATTGGGGAATTTCTAATAGAGCGGCAGGGCACACAACCTTAAACTTTCGGTTCGGTTCGAGGGAAGGCGCTTTTTTAATTCATAACCTGACTTGAACTTACCTTTTTTTTAACTATTATGTGAGGCAGACATGATATGCTGCACCACCCCGAAATCCTGACAAATGTCCAGGCCGGGCACACAGATTTATTTAGCTGCAAACAATTTTAATCCACTTGAGTGCCAATTTATCAGCCGGCAAACAAACAAACAAGTCAAAACAAATTGATATGTGTGACCAAGTAACTATATATCTGGTTGCATACGGTAGATGGGCAATGGTTGACTCAAGGACTTATTTCATTTCCCTCATCCAGCCGAAAAATATGTATAAATATAATGCGAGCCGCAGCAAAACTGGTAGCTGACCGGTTGGTCTGACTAGGTTTTTTCTAAAAAAAAAAACCCTAAACTGGTTTTGCGCTTCATTCGAAATGATATTAATATTTGGTATCAAATATATTTTTTATTATGTTTAAAACCCCTCAAATTAATTAAACAAAATGTATACATTTGACCTAGAACCAGACTTAAAAATTTTACCCAAAAACTCCAAGATTTTTCCGAGCTACTTAAAAATATTTTCGATTTAAATTTGTTAAATTTAAAGTACAAAAAGGGGGAAAGCTCTTGGGGTTGACAAGAAACCCTTTTTTTTTTGAGACGGGGGACAAAGGTGTAAAGGGGATTTGCTGCCCAACAGCGAAATGGAAAATGATTTATTGAAGGTGAAATATTTATTGTTGTTTTTTTCACTCTATTTTTTTTTTTATGGTTTTTTGTATATGATTGTTGTGCCTTGTTTCGGGTTTGTTTCCACAGTAAACAATGGCTATGCGGCATCTTTTGAATTCTTTCCACCTCCTTCGAGCGAAAAAAGTGAAATAATTATTAACAAAAACAAGCGGCAAACATGGAACAACAGATGCTCAGGAGGACGAAAAGGAGGCGAAAACCCTCATCCTCATCCCTTCTGTAAATATTTATTTATTCTGCGTTTTGGGTCAATTCCTCTGGTTTCATTTAATTAAAAAGAAAAGCCAACTCGCGAGGCAAAATATCAAAATAAAAAAAGGGAATATAAATATCCAGATCCAGTCACATGCATGGATATCTGGGTGTCCTTTTTGGGCTGCCGCCCGGCTTGTCCTGGTATTTACTTAGGATCAGGTGGTGAGCACCCATCCCCGTGCCGATTTTTCCCAACAATGCCAAGAAGCCGCCGCGGCAAGCGAAGCCAAAATTTCAATTTCGCGGTTGCTGCATATTTTCCCAGCCTTTACTTCCCTTCACTTTGCTTTTGACTCTGCCAACGAGCCAACAAGGGGCAGGCCACTTTCGGCAATGGAATTTAAACGAATTTTTAAACAGCCCAAGTCCCCAGCCCCCACTACTCCCATTTTCCGTGCCCATCTCAACTTTAAAGCCACCCAAAGACCAAAAAAAAAAAGCAGAACAGAGAGCTTAAGCGATAATTGGCCACTAGGAAATGTCGATGATGTTGAATCGGGAAATGCAAATTGCCAATGTCCGGAACGGGCTTAGCCGCCTAAGTCCAATAACCCAAAAAAAAAGAAAGAAGCAAACTTTTACTGTGGGCTTAGGTCCTGGCGACCTGACATGGATCAGTTTAAGCGTTCCAAGTCGGAGCCAACAAATTGATATGCAGCAGATGTTGCCAGGTTTACATCCATAATAGTAATAATAATCAGAGCCCAGGGAAAGTTAATGGCGAACCACCAAGAAGTTTGAATACGCTATACCAGGGGCAATTATTTTGAAATATATTTATACAGAAATTACTTGATATAAAGCGAATATTTGTTACTCATTTTGGAATTATTTATAATGGTTTAAAAATTGTTTGTAGTACAGTTTTTTCTGTAGCTCGAACTTCCCGTTTTAAATATACCGGTATTTAGATTTTACACCAGAAATGGAAATCGAATCATTTAAAAATAGCCTTAAAATTGGATTTGGAAATTGTATCGATATAATCGATATTTTCACAATATCGATACGATAATATAAAAGTTTTCAAGGGAAAACTCATTTTAAATATCGATATTTAGGAAACTGTCGATATTTTTTCAAGCTTATCTTATCTTATCTTAAATGTTTCTAAATTTCCAAATAAATATCTGAAATTAGTTTTTCTTACAAAAAGATGTGTGAATTAACCTGACCCTTTTGATGGGCAGTGTATACGCGTTTTGGAAAATATCAAAATAAAGAGCAGCTCTGGATTCGGAGTCAGATGCGGATGTGGATGTCGAAGCCTGTCAGAGGGATTAGCTCGCCTGATTGGACACGATGTGATTAACTTGTCGTCAACGCGCGGTGACTTCGCCGCTGAATGAGAATCTGAATCCGACTTTTGGTTTTCGGCTTTCCCGTTGACTGTGACGTCGACACGTTCCACGCACCACCCACCACTACCCATCATTCGCAACTAACCCACCACCACCACCACCCCAAACCTTCTGGCCTTGCTAAACAAAAGTGCAAACATTGACAGACGGCTAACGAGGGAATGGGTGCTTCGCAAAAAGAGTGGGTGTTGCGGAATTGCTAGGCCAAAATTAACCCATTACGCACTCCATTAACGCAGTTTGCCTATGCATGTGGGTCCCGGCTAATTAGTTGTGGCAGCTGATGCTCCACACTCCCGATATGCCTGCACATGTGTAGTTAATACAATTACCAACGTCAGACGCAAAATGGCTAAAAGCCAGTCGCAAATTTAGTTATTCGGCTTGGTTTGGCACAAATCGAATGCACCACAAAGCGCAGTCTATTTAAGCCAATATCTCAGAGCAAGTGATATTATTTGAATTTTTGAAAGGTTCTTAATTTTTTTAAAGAGATTTTAATTCCATTGCTTAGGTGTCTATTTCTCAATATTAATATGTTTGGCACAAATCGAATGCACCACAAAGCGCAGTCTATTTAAGCCAATATCTAAGAGCAAGTGATATTATTTGAATTTTTGAAAGGTTCTTAATTTTTTAAAAGAGTTTTTAATTCCATTGCTTAGGTGTCTATTTCTCAATATTAATATGTGTTTTTCCTTGAAAACATCTATATTATCGAATCCATATTGTAAAGATATCGAAAGTATCGATATCTTAGTATTTTGGTTAACTAATTTCATTAAATTAATCATAGAATTTTTTTTTCAATTTAGCGAGTTAAGTTATACATTTTTAAGATATTTCTTTATAATTAATATATTTTTTAAAATAATCTGAATTTAAAGAAAATAAATATTAAAATATGTAAATGACCATTTCCAAGTCAGAAGTTTTTGATACTTATAGAAAAATAATTAAATGCTAAGGCTTAAATTTAAATGAGCTCTAGCTCATTCATCTCTGGGACGAATAATATAAA